AATAGAGGCATAGGATCACATCTTCTGTAGTTAAAATTTTGGATTCTATAGGATCTCTCCCTCGCCATATATGTAGTTGATGTGTAAGGTGATTTAATACCATTTTAAATTTGAGTTTCACCATAAATAAATAAATAAATAAATTATAAAGTAAAAATTATTTTAACTTTTATAAGCTCTTATTTTATTATATTTGTAGTTGACTTCCGTTAAATTAATTCCTTATAAAAAAACTCACAAGATAGAATAAAATAGGGCCATAAGCCTTAATATAGGCCATTGATTAACTTTGGGATGTATTTATTATTATATAGACTACAAATATAGCCAACCAAACTTAACAATGAAGTTTACTTATGCGAGAATTTTTAAAATCAAAGGCTAATTATGTATATATATATATATATATTATAAATAGTAAAATTTTGACATATAAGACAATTGCAACATGTAAAAATACATGGTCAAAGACCATACAAAAATTTATCTGCTTGAAAAGGGAAGACTAAAGTTGAAGCCCTCAAGAATTACAATAGTGTCTATTTGAAACAATATTTTGACATTGTAATATAGTCTTCATGATCAAGTTTCAAGAATTCGATCATTATAATCTATTATTCATAATTTATCATAAGGTAAATTTTGGCTCATGGTAAAAATGACTGTGTGCATTTGGACTGTATTTTTTTCAAGTTATTATTCAAGTTAAGAGGTCCTAGTCTCTTACAGCATGTTTAGATTTACGTTTAATAGAAAACTTAGGTTCCTTAGTTTTTTTTATTATAGGTAGCTGATATTCTTTGATGACAAACTAGTGATGACACTGAATTTCCAATAAACATTGTCCAATTTAATCTTTTATTTTTTTTTAAAGAACCAAAATAATTAAATGGTGGGATAATCTAGGTCAATTTTTTATTTCCAGCTTTCTTCAATTACAGAGTACAATATTTAAGTCCCTAATAAATTTCTCACGAACAAAGTAACAATCTATCGCAATGGTTAATTGACATCCAATATATTTCTTAAGGGATTGAGTCAGCATAATAAAGCATCTATAGAAAATGACACGTCCATTAAAATGAAATTAATTAGCAATACTTACAAGCATCCTTAACTATTATTATTTTTAACAGGTGGATTTCTTTTTAAAAATTATAAGTAATTAGCACTACTTTTAATCATCTATCTATTAAAAATGACTAATGAATGGTTTATATCAAATAGACCATGAATAAACTTTTTTTAATACATTTTATATGAGTCATAAACTATTTAATCATTTAATTTTAACACATTTATTATAGCATAATTTAAAATTTATTTAAATTGTCTATTTCACACCCTAACTAAAGCATTATTTCCCTAAAATATTATATAAGTTGTTGGACAATTGGAGTGTGTTTGACATATCAAATAGGTTAATTTCTAGGTTATTCGATTAGCTTATAAACTTGTTCAAAATATTTTAATTATGTTCCATCCAAATGTCTATTTATCTATTTATATATGGTATAAAAACTCTTACTAAAGTTGTTACATCATTTTTTATTATTTAATTTCTTATTGACTAAGACATTTTTATAACATGAAAGAAATTAAGATAGGAATTTAAATATTATATGTTAAAAATTAAAGATGATAACATTTATAAGTAAGTAAAAATAATAATTTATAAAAATTGAATGTATATTATTTTTTAGTTAAAATTACTATATGTATATAAATAATAAAATTGTATTTTTTTTATTTATCAAAAATTAGTATACTTCTTATGGATATTTATTTAAAATTTAAGAAAAAAAAGTAAAAATTTAAAAATTAAAACTTGAAAGGTTGGAAAAATTAAAAAAACTAAGAAACCCACTCAGTTTTTACATTGAAGATACAAATTATAATAAATTTTTTAATAAAATATCATATCATTAGTTTATTAAACTCAACTCTCGTGTTGAGATTCGCGTTTTCCTTAAAAAAAAAAAAACACAGAGAGAGTTCTATCTTTTCATTGCTGTAAGACTCACCCTTAAACGTAATACTTATAGGCTTGCTAAAAAATAATTTTACTCATTAATTCAATTACATGCCATAATATTAAAAGGATGTGATTATAAAATGACTTTATAATAATATGATAATGAACAACTAATCAATATTACATATTTTAAAAGTGAAGAAAATTTTCTTAACGGAAGTATTATGTAACATAATAGCTGTTGTCTGTTGACTAACGTAGGACCAAGTATTATAATTAACAAACCTTGTTTTTTTGTTTTTGTCTCCACCTGTAATGTAACAGTTAAAAGAGTCTTGGGGAAAAACATGGTTCGATACGACATTCCTTCTGTTCCTAGTCTTTCGGGCACATCTTGTTTCCAGCCTCTAGATGGAGACATTTCCTCCAAAAGGAAGAAAAAAGAAACAAACTTTCTAACCGATTCTCTCTTACCATTTCCCTTTCTCAGCCCAAAAACTCAGCCAAAATCAAATTTCCTCTGAAATATCAACATCGCACGTTGACATTGCTGCCAAACCTCGTCTCAGTCATAGGACATAGCATCATTTTCTTTGTGTAAAATTCCCCGTGTTTCATAGTGTTGAATCCTTCCACTAATTTTGATTTCTTGTTCAAAGGGTTACCAACAGTTCATTCATTTCCCACACAACCATTCAAGATGAGGCCCACATTTGCCCCATGTTTTTCATTCAGCGTCTAAAGGATGAAAATGAAATAAGAAACCAACATGAAAATTTTGTTTTTCTTCATTTGATGCAAAAGGGGTTTGAAATTTGAGTCCTTTTTATAGAACATAATGGCTTTCCATCGTTCCTTTAGAGCACAACCAGTGTCATCAAGTCAAGGATCATCTTCAGCAGAGAGAATCACAGAGGAGCCTTTGCCTTGCAAAGTTACACACAGTACGGTCACGTGTTTCTACCAAGCCAATGTTGCAGGCTTTTGGCGAAATGTGTCAATTTTGTGGTGCAAAAATCTTATGAACCATTCCTTACATATCACGGTTGATAGTGTAGGAGGTGAGTTACAATATAACTGCAAGGTTGATGTGAAGCCTTGGCACTTTTGGAGCAAAAAAGGGTACAAAACCTTTGAGGTTGATGGCAGCCAGGTCGAGCTCTATTGGGATCTCCGGTCGGCTAAATTCGCCGGCAGCCCTGAGCCGAGCAGCGATTACTATGTAGCCTTAGTGTCTGATGAAGAGGTTGTGATGTTGTTGGGAGATTACAAGAAGAAAGCATACAAGAGAACAAAATCTAGACCTGCCCTTGTTGAGGCCATGTTGTTGGTCAAGAAAGAAAACGTGTTTGCCAAGAAAAGTTTCTCTACCAAGGCCAGGTTTGATGAGAAGAGAAAGGATAGTGAGATTGTCGTGGATAGTTCAACTGCGGGGCCTAATGACCCTGAGATGTGGATTAGCATTGATGGAATTGTGTTGATTCATGTCAAGAACTTGCAATGGAAATTCAGAGGGAACCAAACTGTTATGGTTAACAAGCAACCTGTGCAAGTGTTTTGGGACGTGCATGATTGGTTGTTTAGTGGGTCTGGGTCAGGGCCTGGCCTGTTCATCTTCAAGCCTGGGCCTCCAGAAGCTGAGAGTGAAAAAGAAGGCAGTGCTGTTGAAGGCTGTGATAGTGATGATGGCAGTGTCGGCTATTATTCAACTATGAATATTGCTACCTTTGAGTTCTGCCTCATTCTCTATGCATACAAAATTGAGTGATAGAGATAATAGTTGGGGGCAAAGAGGTAGCAGGATTGTAAAGTTAGTTGTAATTTTTTCATTCTGGTGGATGTATTACTTCTATTGTGAAGACAATTGCTTTTCAAAGTAATTGGAAGTCCTGGTCATTTGAAATCAGGATACAAGGATTGATATCTTCAGGGAGATTTTTTTTGTAATCCATTTTTATGCTATTCTCTGTTAATTTTTCTGAGTCGTTGTCATGAGTAGCTAGTCATGATCATCACAATTTTCAGCTAACTGAAGTGTGTGTTAATGAACATGGATTTCTGCAATTGTTCACAATAATAAACATTTACTTGTCATTCAAGATTATTAATAACATAAAGCACCTGTTTGATAAATTATTAACACTTACAATTTCAAGCAGTGTTCCTATGAAGCTCAAGAATAGAAGAAATAGGCAAGACAGAAAAAGAGAAATAACTAGACAAAATAGGGTGTTGATTGTACAGGCATATCAAAAGAGGATAAGAGAGATTGCACTGTTTCTACCTATGACGACAGAGAGGGAGGCGGGGGGTTGAAGTATGTTTAGAGAAGAGAATGTTAGACAAGAGTCATGTGAGGAAAGGGATCAAAGAATTTAGGTTTGCCAACTTTCAATAGAAAGCAGCGACAATAGACAAAGGGTTGTGGTTTGGTAAAAGCAATTGATAGAAAGGTCTTCAAATATTTATATTATGTTGCAAGTTACCACACTTCGACATATCTTTCTCAAATAAGGTAGACTAGGAAGCAGGATCTTATGCCACAGCAAGAACTTCATGATGTAGATTGCGTATAGGATTAAGAAAGTTTTCTTTAATTCTTTTTTAATTTTACCTTTTCCAATCTAGCTTCTTTCAAGTTTCTACCCCTTTTCCTCTCTTGACTCTTATTGCCAGATTGTTGCATATAAATTGCATTAAATAATTAAGAGGATTGATAAGAATATACTTTCTAACACAGTTTTTAGTTATTTGTTAAAATTTACTAAAAACTACAGAGAGTATGATAAAAAATCGTTAAATTCAAAATGAAACCCACATAGCTTTTGTGATTTTTAATAAATTTTTGGCTTGCATTTCCCAACAATCAAAAGCTTTTTTCATCAGTCTAAAGATCTGATATGGTATAACAATCAAATAGAATATATAATCATAGGGGTATCAAAGCTAAAGTCACATTGAAGCCAATCTGGCATACACCAGAACTTACTAGGTGTTGACAACCTGAACAAAAAATGAACAAATTTTATGAATGAATGTGATTAGGTACTGAGACAAATTTATAGCTGTCATCATCTTTAATACCAAACAACATATTCTTATTCTTTTCTCTTTGAGGAAAATCTGCAGAATGGTGAGAAGGAAGAGAAGGAGGATCAGACATGGATTCATCCTTAAAACTTTTACGAATGTCCCAAAGAACCTCTGCACAATTCTTCATAGGTGGCCGTGATTGTCTCAAAGGTGCAACGCATAGTAGAGCTAGCTTGAGAACCTTTTTCACTGCCTTTATGGAGGCTGGATTTCTTCTCAGTCTTGGGTCCATGGCAAATACAGCATCCCCTCGTTTCAACATCTTCATTGCCTGCATACATGCAAATTATATTTGCCTAATCAACAACCATTTTTGGAGTGCATCTTCTACCAGTTTCATTGTTATTTCATTATCATTAAAAGGTACAGAAAATAAGGTATGCTGTGCATTGGATTACTTATCAAGTTATTTATCTGCACAATTTATTTATTCTCATAAAACTAACCAAAATCATAGCACTGTGGACTCCATTTATCAAGGAAGACCGGATCTCATTTTGGTTCTTGGTTCATAAAAAATGCTGATATATCTTCCATACAAATTTTCCTTGAACAAAGAAACTGAATTTGACTTATCTTGCACCCAGATTTATTTCCAATGATATAGGCATTTATTGATTGAACACTTAAAAATATTAGTTAACATACTGCTACATCTTTTAAACTTGGAGGAAACCAAATATCAAGCTACCTGCGATATGTCCTTTTTTGAATAATCCAACAAGTGCAATGTGCATGCTCGGAATTACCTTGATTCTTTATAATGAATGGACATGGTTAAAATATAAAATTATGTGACATTTTAATTTTAACCATTTCACGTATGATTGATCATACGAAACTTACTCTTTTCATGCTCATATTAAAAATACATTCAAACTAGATACATTCCCTCACCAAATTAACTTTGTACTTTTTGAATAATGAATGAAATTTATTCATAAAAGAAAATAATAATATCAGTCTTAAGGGTTATTTTTAAATATCTAAAAGTATTAAAATTCTATTAAAAATTACATTTTTATTACATAAATTAAAAAATATAAGAAATGTTTTTTTCCTTAATAAAAACTTGAGTCTTACTTAGAATATTAATTAAGAATTTGAAAATTAAAAAAAATTATGAACAATCACGTTATAATCTTTAAAAATCATGGAAAGAGATGCATTCATAATATTTTTTGATATATTTTTTTAAAAAAATTATTCTTTAACTAATGTCCTTAGTATTTGCTTAAAAACTTGTTACTTTTATGTTTTTAAAACCAGTTCTAACAAAACTATTTAACAAATAGTTGAAATAATTACAACTTCTAAAGTGATATGTTCATTTAGTACAAATAGTATTTTAGTTATTTTGTAATGCATTTGGGGGATTAAACATACTTACCCATCTGATTGTCACTCTCTCATCAAGGGGTCTCTTTGGTTCTATTGGATGTCGTCCTGTCATCATTTCCACAAGCAGTATACCAAAGGAATAAACATCACTCTTTTCAGTGAGTTGATATGTTTTAAGGTACTCAGGATCCATATATCCAGCAGTTCCTTTAACTTGAGTTGAAATATGGGTTGCAGTAGGATCATCAGACAACCTAGCAAAACCAAAATCTGCCACTTTGGCCCTTAGATTCTCAGTGATTAGGATGTTTGATGCTTTGATGTCTCTATGGATAATTGGATTATCTGTTCAGTAAGCAAAATATGACATTGTAAGGTTACTTGAACACATTGCAAATAGTACCCTTCCCTGTGAGTACTAGTACATACATTACAATTATACAGAATTCAGATATATTGTACACATCTGTTCCTTTTCTAATTTAGTTCTGTGAACATACTTGTGTACATATGAAGGTAGGTTATTGCATGAGCCACATCAATTGCTACATCTAGACGCTCACCAATTTCTAGTCCATCTCCTCGAATACCTGCATCAATAATTGACTCATCAGGTTACAATTGCTCTACATTATAAAGTCATTGTAGTATCTAAGTATTGCACTATTGAATAATATATACAATGCACAAGTTTATGTATGATTAATGCAAAGAGGTGCTCCTGATTTCGTAAAGGATCACTTTCTAAATGCATTTCCTTTTGAGTTGATCCAAGTCTTCTGGGCAAATTGAATAGACTTCTTGGTACAATGATATTTCATTTTCATCCAACAATTACCATCTTCCTTGAGCTATGTATAATTGGCTCTTCTTCCTAAGCTTAGAAGAGACCAGATAATGATCATGCATTTCATTCGGCAGTGTGTAAAATCCAAATAATTTCCTTTTCTACGTCATATATGGTGACAAATCACGACTTACCATCGAGATGTTCTCGAAGTGTACCGTTACCAACGTATTCAACGACAATAATCTTCTCATCTTCATGCTCCAAATATCCATATAGCCTTACAAGATTCCTGTGCTCAATCTGTGATAAGGTGTATATCTCATTCTTGAACTCATGTAAGTGATTGTGTATTACTTCCTGCCAAGAAACTTCATTAGGCCCAATAGAAGATCCCAAAAAGGAGAAAAAAATAATGGCACTCTAGTGATCTATGCTTGTAAAAACTTAGTATCTAATGAATATGCTTCACTTTTATCATATTCGGCACAATTGAACAAGTTATAGAGACGGGAAACAGTCAAAAGATGAAGATCATGCTATACCTTTTTGGCACGCTTCACGGCGACAAGAGATCCATCATTAAGCTTTCCCTTATAGACTGTTCCAAAGCCACCTTCTCCAATTTGATTATCTTGAGAGAATTTTGCAGTTGACTTGTAAATTTCCTCAAAGGAGAAGCTCCCAATTCCAAGTTGTCCACTTGCAGTACTAGATGATGCATAGGAATAAGAAAACTTCCATTTTGATGAATTCTTGGTGTTACTCTCAGATGATAAATCAGTTGAAGCTGCAAATTGTGGTATAAACTAGCTCAATTTCAGAAAATCTCTTAGAAGAATACTACAAAAGCATTCATCACCTCATAATGAACTAACTTAGCATCCAAACATTTTTTGCCACACATAAAGTATCCCTCCCATGATCTGAATCCAAGTTTAGATAAAGAGTTGACCATGAACAAGCACAATAAAATCATTTCAAACCACCCAAAAAGCAAAAGATTATTTCTTTTCGTCATACTTACATGATACCACCCCTCTGACTTTGGATGTATTCTTACTATTAACACTTGCAACAACATTTGAGGCTGTTTTTCTTTTGCCAGAGAGAATCAATGAAAAAGCAGCTGCACATTTCTTGACAGCATGCTTGAAAGATTTCAGAGCTGAATTAGTCTTAGGATTGTGTTGTCTTTGGCTACCAAGATGCTGGAGCTGGAGATTAGCATTGTGCTTTCTTTGGCTAGATTGATGCAAATTTGGGGGTGGTGTTTTCTTCATTTGGAGAAGCTAAAGATATTCAAAGTCCCGATCATTTCTTGTAGCTAAAGTATAAAAGGGAAGGTCTCATATGCTTCCATCTTGTGTGTTATTTTCTTCCCTTCATAATTTATTTATCTATGACCATTTCTTCACTCAAGTTTTGTTTCAGTCCAATGCAAAAAAGTTGCCAGCACTAGTAGCTTTCCCTTTTTAAGTTAACATTTTAAAAGTCAAAATCATACCAAAATTCTTGTAACCATTCACTTCCAACCACGTAAAAGGATGGGCTCAAAAATAAAAGTAAAATCAAACCAGGTCAAAGGATTTCTTTTAGGTGAATTTCTGTTGTTGTTGTTGATACCAAGTCAATAACTCACTAGAGTTAAACTAAGCAAATTGGCCGGCCTTAGTCCCAACGTGGTTTTTTGCCCAATGGTATTGAGTCACACTGCAAACTTGTAATATAAAAGGCTCTTTATTTTTCCAATTGGATTTTTTAAATGAAATATGATTTTCAATCAATGAATTTAGCTTTTTTCTAATAGTTATAATTTATTGAAAATTGAAAATTGTGTATTGGTCTGTTTGTAAAGGATGATATGTTTTATTTCTTTCCCCTATCAATTACACGCACTAAAACTTGTTAATTTTTCCCTCAATAAAATGAATTGTATTTTCATTTGAGTTTAATTAGCATTTATTGATTGTAATATAAAGAAGTTTTATATTAATACCCAAAGGCCAACTTTGTAGCCAAAGACTCCCAAGCATCCAATAAATGAGTGGGTCAGTAATTGTGAAAGTTAGACATTCAATCAGTAATTCATTACACATGTGAGGGTCTGTCATCGTGGATCCCATTCAATAATGTTTAGGGAATATTTATAATATCATCATAAATTTTTTTATTTAATTCTTATACGTGTTTCATGATTTTAATTTAGTTTTTTATCAGTATAATATTTTTTCATCTGGTTCCTAACTTTGTAATAGAAAATCACGAACTATTATAAAATATTTTTTATGATCAAGTTGATAATGCATAACACAGGATTAATATATAATTTGACACAAAAAAAAGTATAACTGCAAAAATCAACAAAGTGAAAACTACGTTATGACAGAGCCTAATGTTGAAAATTATTTTTAAAAGATTTTGCTAGATTAAATTTTTTTTAAAAAAAATCTATGTAGGCCAAACTAAAATTGTGTTACACAAACTAAATTTATATTTTAATATTTATAAATTATGGTTAGATTAATGGAAAGTCCTTTTTTGTTTTTACTTAAAATGAAGTTTTATATAAAAAAAAAATCACGTTAAAGTATAATAAAACGTCTTTGAATATGCACAAATGCACTAATGTCTTGTCAGGAGCTCGGATTGTAGTGCTTCGACAACATAACAAGAACAATTTAAAATGATTGTTAAATTTAATTATATATTATATTTTTGCCAAAATATTTTTTCTAATCAGGCATAATAGGATATTCAAATTATTTGGTCTTTTATACAAAATTAGTTGATGTTAAGTTTAAGAAAGATTTAAAACACTTTATTTATAATTGATTATATATAGTAGTTAAAAATATTAATCCTCTGTGAGAGTAGAAGAAATAAGAGTAGGTGCATTTAAAAGCTAAACTTATATATATAAATTTTATTATTATAATTTATCTTTAATTTAAATTTTCATCTTTGTATTTAACAAAGTTTGTTTTATCCTTATAATTTAACAATTTTTAGTCTTAATAATTTTATATTCTATATAAATTTTAGTCCGTCAAATACATTGAACATAGATCGTAACGAGAGAAATCAATTATACCAAAATATAGAATTTGAAAAACTTATAAAAATACAATATTTCAAAATATTATTAATAATTTTTAAATTCTCATATTTTATTTAAAAATCACCGTTAACAATTTTTAGGCTTCACATTTGTGCAGTTCTTAGAACTTCATATATTTAAGTATATATCATTTTTACCTCATAATGAAACATAGTAGCCACTTTGACTGTGTTCTAAGAAAAATACATTCCATTCAAAATTATTCTCCCGAATCCTTAATTTGAAGGACAAAGCAAAAAGCACACTAATCCACAGTAAAATCCAAAAAGTAAGAGACTATCAGGTAATGAAAAATATCAACAAAGTAAGTTCAAAAACAGTCTTCACTGTGAAATGAAATTAACACAATGGAAGTGTTATTTACTCATAATGTCAACAACAACATCCACAAATGCAAACGCTTCTTATAACGAGATTGGTCACATAACTTGTAACAATGGCAAAAGCTATTGCTATAGCAGCCAAATCAACCTCGCAGGAAACAAGTAACCAAAAACATGAAAGAACACAAACTGCATAACATTTATGAACAACTTCTAAGGACCATAGAAGAAACTTGAGTATCATTGCATTACAGAGCACAAGATAATCTGAGTACATGACATAACGATTCAAAAATAAACCATCATCAGGAACACAAATTTCTTCCATTTACACATACCCCCAATCAAAACCCCAAAGCCCACCACATGGGCATCTGAGAAAGAGGCCCAAAACCAAAAATTTCTTAGCCTCCAAACCCATAGAGAGTCCTTCCCTGCCTCTTGAGAGCGTAAACCACGTCCATGGCGGTAACTGTCTTTCTCCTAGCATGCTCCGTGTACGTCACCGCATCGCGAATCACGTTTTCAAGGAATATCTTGAGAACGCCTCTTGTTTCTTCATAGATCAACCCGCTAATTCTCTTCACACCACCTCTTCTTGCCAACCTTCGAATCGCAGGTTTCGTGATACCTTGAATGTTATCGCGAAGAACCTTCCGATGCCTCTTCGCTCCTCCCTTTCCCAAACCCTTGCCTCCCTTTCCGCGGCCCGACATTTTCACCGACTTTGAATTGAACTGAATATTTGACCAGAGAGTGAATTTGGGAATTAGGGTTTTCGATGATTGAAAGAGGGAAGGGAATGGGGTATTTATTTGGAGCGGGAAGAGTGGGCTTATGAATCTGAGTGTTTCTGTTTAATCGAAGCCGTTGAGTTATGATTAATCGACGGTATATGTCAGGATCCGTGGCATGTTGTAGGGATTATTTTCAATCGTTGATGGAAATGTTTGGACGGTTCACATTGTTTTATGTAACTAGATCAGATCAGGGTTTCAATTGTCTTTGGGAACCCGTGACTGGCAACTTTGATGGCTTTGCCATTTTTGTTTTGTAGCATAGTAGTTCCTAAAATAAAACATAAATCTCTTTTTTAATTTAAATTTCATTTATATATTTTTAATTGAAAATTTTATATTTTTCATTTTTCATGAACAATCATAAATGTTGATAAAATATTATTTATTTATTTATCATCTATTAAAAAAACATTTTACTCAATAAAATCATATGAAAATTTAATATGAAAGTACAATTTCAGTAAATTTTAGTTTTTAAAAACGTCATAAAATTATTTTTTATATTTTTAAATTTTGGAAATTATATTGATTTATTTTACTTTTAAGTTTTATATAAATTAACTTTTATGTGAATACATACACTATCAAGAAGACCTAAAATTTGGCGTAAAAAATGTTTATATCAAACATATTTCAACATGTTTTTAACACATAAAAAAAATTTGTAAACATACATTCAATATAAAAATTATAATTAATTATATTGAAATACACATATTTAAACATAAATTCAGACATGCTCTAAAAAATGTTTCACTTATGACATTTTTAACCATTTTTACTTTTTTAAAAAACAAAAATTAAGAATAATTCCTTAAATATATTTATATTATTTTTAATTGAAATTAGAATTACACTTGATGATAACATTAAGTACATGTTTAAATTCACATTGATTATGACTTTATACATGTTTTGAACGCATAAATTATTCACGATTACGTAAAAACTAAAGCATATTTACTGTTAGAGAATGTAATATCAAACATATGCTAAATGTGAACATTTTATTAAAGTATAATTTTAATGAAAAATAACATAAAAAAATACTTAAAAATTTTGTACTTAATTTTTTTAAACATCCATACTTTCATTCTACAAACAGAAAATACAAAATTAAATGTAGGGTAAAATTGCTTCCTTGCTCTAGGAATAAGAAAATCAGTTTCTATTAAACATGTTTAGTATTATTGATGTTTCTCAATTTCTTACCTATTAAGTTTTAATATATCTATATGTTTGAAAATCTTTCCATTTTTATTAAGAATTTGTTACAAATTTTTACTTTTTATTTTTAAAGGCAAAACTTAAAGTGAAATATGATCGATTACCATAAAGTTAAATTAATTTTTATTTAAAGACATTTAAGAGTTAAAAATAATAATAATAATTTAAGACATAAGGAAAAGAAAGGAGAAAGAGAGTTAAAAAAAGAGAAAATATATTTAGTATTTTATAAATATTATTAATGTTATTGAGTAATTAAAATTAGAATTTTATATCAGTAAAAATCATTTTTAATGTTATCGCATATTATCGAAGTAAAATTCGAATTTTTATTGATAAACAACATCAATAAAATTTGTCGATGTGTACATAAATTTTGTAATAAAATAAAATTTTTTAATTTAAAAAATTTTAGAAGGTCTATCAAAACTTCTCCTCACAGTTAAAAACTCTTAAACAATGATTTCTATTAATACTTTTAATTCGTGCGTCAAAAATCTAGATCATTAGATTTATATTAAAAACCGTTTCACTGAACACCAAATCAAACGCACTAAATAAGAAGTAAAATTCGTGCGACTAATTGGATCGATTTTTTATTTTTTGGATACTCTTTGGAGAGAGTATCCATATTACTATTCGAAATTCAAAATAATTATGGTTGACTTATGGCATTTTTATGAGTCCAAAATTATACACATACCAATTTTACCAGGATTTAACTAAAATTGAATCATTAATCCATATATCAAAAATTCCATTGGCTCAATAATCAAACATAATTTTTAAAACATTCGAGTTTTCTTTCATCTAAACTTTACTAAATCCCAAGCAATTTTATTTTACTCCTAAACTTCCACTTCCATCTATACTCAAGTACAGCCAAAATTTAGAAGGAAAGAAGCCGAAGCAAAGTCATAATAAGGAAATATATTTTTCATGAATATGAAGTTACATTCAAATTTTGTGTCTATCAAAATAGAGATAAATATAAAATTTGTACATAACCTTGCCATGTTCAATTTTGACACTCACAAGGAAGTGACTGATAACTGAGCCAGCGATTACCGGAGACATTTGCCAGTGACTCTGCCAAGCCAAGGATGTTGGCTGAAGAAGCATGTTCGAGCTAGACTAGAGTGTGCTACACACCAAATGGATTCCATGAACAGCAAGGACAACAAAGAAACCTTATTACCGGATCCTTTCTTCTTGTTTCATTTTAAAAATACACACACTGCACCCGAGAAAACTTAGAAACCCGAAATGCATCCAAAACAGAGACTCCTAATGAATAAGGGAAAGCAAAAAAGTGATAAACAAACTGTGCAGAACAGATTTTACACCTGGTAGACCGTTGGTACCTCTTTTATAGGCATTACCGTTAGGATATATAAGCAAACCATCTCTGTCATTCTTCAGTTAATCACCTTTCATATACAAGAAATTGAACTGTACTTTACACTGTAGTGCCAGCACTGTCAGCCAACTGCCCAGAGAGTTTGAGATGTATTTCATCAGCAATTTACTAATTAATAGGAGTCCCAATATTTACCATAACGAGAATTACATACAAGCCCATAAAAATATATTTTAACATGACATAGAATGTTCTGTAAACCATACACGTAGAGAGAGCATATGTAGAAAGAGGAGAGTGTCTATTATAAGAGGTGAGAGGAGAAAATCTAATAGATTCATGTAAGATCTAATAATCTATATTTGTTACTCTTTCAAAATAAATCACTCCACTTACTTTATATGTTCTCTACATACATGAGAGTTAATTTTTCAAAAGTTGTCGAGCAGCGTTTGCAAGACCGTGCACAAAACACCAAGTATCTATAAAAGCAAAACCAGTATGCCAGGAAAAAGTTCTAAACAAATTTGCAAGTTGAAAGATAAACATTCGGTAAATTTATACTCACCAGGATCATCAAAATTCACTCTTTCTCCAGTAGAGAATAGGCAGTAGAAAATAGCAGCAAGAAAGTAAAGGAGTGATGTAAGCAACAGAAATCCTGGGAAGGAACCAACTAGCTCAACAAAAAAGCCAGCTCCAACTGTTCCAATTATAGCAGCCAATGTTCCAGCAGTATTTGACAATCCTAGAACAAGTAATCAAGAAGGCCTTATTACAAGAAATCTTATTTTGTACATATGTCAGTCAATTCTTCCCTTCTATGCCAATAAGAAGCAGTAAAAGTTCCATTGAATATTAAAAGTCAGGTCCACCAGGTAACTTCCCACGTCTTGTATTTACTCAAGCTAAATGAAATTTAATGAAGGGCATTGCCAAGGGCTTTATATATACCATTACAGCGCAGCTTGCCCAAATGTATTTCAATAGATTAAATAGCACAAGAGAGAAGCACTTCAATATCCTACAATGGTTAAAGCAATTACCCAACTCTAGACCAAAAATCCTAGCAACCAATTCACCTTTTATCACTTATCACAAATCACATACAGAAATAACATAAAACAAGCTGAAAACCAGTTCAAATGTATTTATGATGAAAATAAACTATCAATCAAACCAGTTCAAGAACAAAGGCATACCATGTAAAACACCAGAATATTGTGGTGCAATCTCCTGCAATGATAAAGAAAGTGAACATTCTATTAGAGTGAGAGGGTTTCTAATAAAAAAAATATAGTTGTGTTACACATGACTGAAGTCAGAAACCTGAAGATTCACAAGAAAACCCGAGTGACTGAAAGATTTCAGGCCAAAGGCTAATGTAAGCCAAGCAGAACCAATCATGGGGCTTTTTGCTGTCGCTAAACCAATGAGGCAAAGTCCAGGACCAACAAAACCAATGGACTGCAGTGAAAGTTCAGCATAAGCATTATTCACTAAAACTGGTATACAGTGAGAAAAGCCAAATCCAAGTTGTGATATAAATAGAGAAAAATAAAGAAAACTACCACAACAACAACTAAGGCTTTTTCCAACTAGTCGGGATCAGCTACATGAATCAAATGCTGCCATTGTTTATTGTCTAATACTAAAGACTTAAAATAAATTATCCAATTTCAAATACACCAGCACGTGCTTTCATGTTTCAAACACCTAATTCCCATTGCTTTAAGCCTCCAACAGCAAGTAAAACCACTTTGTATTACATGACAATTTCACAATCCCTCTCCATCTAGAGGTAATATTACATGTCCCTCCTATCTTTTCTAATATATGCAACATACCTGCACAATCTTACGAGTCAATGTGACACTTGTGCCACTTTGTATCATCATATCTGACCACAAGCCAGCAAGGTAATTCATGATAGCCATCACAGCCCATGGAACAGCACTAAACCATGCTGCATGCCTGAGATCCACATGATACACCTATAATGAAAAATCATTTATACATGATTTATGAGTTGATTTCTCAATATTTTAATTGCTTGACATTTGAAAATCACAACTAAATATTAAAGCCTTACTGAGTTGAAGTATATGGGCATCCAAGAAAGAACAATAAAAAAACCCTGCAAAATAAGGGAAAAGTTAAAAAGGGCATCAAACATGAATTTGTTGCATGAATAATAATATAAATGTGGGGCTCCTGAGCCACATTTAAGGACCATCTATTATGTTTTTCTATTGGTGAATAGGAACAGAAGGTGAAGATTTCCTCATAAGATAATTGAATCCAATTGGGGCATAAAAAATGACAATTATCAACTCAGGTAAGAACACCAGAAAAAAAATTAAACATATGCTATAAATGTGAAGCATTACCCAACTATGCATGGCATTTGCAATGATTAGAGACCATGTTGGCAGCTTTGAAAGCAGGCGCCTGAAAGGAGGGATCACTTTAACTTTCTTGGGTTTAGCTGCCTCCACAGGAAAGGATTTTTGCCTTTTATTTAGTATATATTCCAGCTCATATTTTGATATCTGAGGACTCTGATCAGGAGTGCTTGATGTTGCAGACAGCCAGACCAACACCCAAAGAAACCCAGACAACCCAAAAATCACAAATGGACCAAATATACCACCTTGCGACATGAGAATGGGAGAGAGCGTAAGCCCGATTGCACATCCCAACTGAAATCCAGCCATTGAGATTCCAACAGCCCTTGCTCGTTCAGTTTGAGGAAACCATCTAAATGGAAGAACCAAAATTGGGACACCATCAACATCTTACCGTCATCACGAAGTGATGATCAAATGGCAATGCTCAACACAAGATCCCTCACTTCACTCACTCACAATTTCATAAAAAGCATCATTATTCCTGTTCAAAAGAAGTCTTGGCTCTACACAATTACCTACTGTTTAATAAAACTTAAAGGACACAGAGGAAAAGATAAAGGCAGACATATTTAAGACAAACATAATTTTAGTCTTATTCAAAGTACGATCCCTGTATCCCAAACACATTAGTCAATAAATTAAAAAAAGTAAAAATAAAAAAAATGGAAGATACTTCTTGGATGCGTAGCATTGGATGCACAAACAACATAGATTCTTACTACTTATCCATTTTTGGACTACATGCAATTCATAGATGTCAAGTTACCTAGCAACCATGTTATTCATGGAAGGAAGAGCAACTCCTTCCGCGACACCAAGCAAAGCACGAACAGCAAGAAGAGCCAAAAGGGAGGTCTCAGCAGCCCAAGGAGTGAGAAAAGTAGCGAGTGACCACAAAGCCACACCCCAAGCCATCACCACCTTACCACCATAGTTATCCACCAACACCCCTCCAGCTATAGGCGAAGCCAAATACCCCCAAAGGAAAGATGACTGCACCATCAAATCAACAACCAACACATTTCAATTCCCAAAAAAATTTCTTTTTTTTAAATTGCCAGAGTCAATTCATCGAACATTTGGTGTACATGTGCAAGTATGAGAGAGATGAAGACCCACCTGAACAACTCCGGCAAAAGCGCGGGTCCATCCATTGGCGAGCGACAACGGCACGATGGCGACGGACATGACGACGCGATCGGCGTTGCAGAGAGCGAGGGCGAGAGCGAGCATGGCCACCACTTTGACTCTCTCGGAAGTGATGAACTCTGTGAAACTCGGTTGTTGTTGTTGTTGTTGTTGGTTCTCTTCGGAAGCGGAATTGAAGTGAGCATCGTTGGAAGAAACGCGAAGGAGGGGAAGGGAACGGGGAGAAGGTGAAGGTGAAGGTGAAGTTGAAGTGGTGAATGCAATTTGGATTCTGTTGAGGTGGGGTTTTGGGGAGTGGAAATTAGTGACTCTGCTACGGTTGATTTTGGGTAGTGAGAGAGGTTTGACGGCGGTTGTTCCGGCGAGAGCGATGGAGGTGGATGACACCGTTGCCATGGGCATGCAGTTCTGGCGGTGAACGTTTTCGGCGGTGACTAACAGAATACGTTGGTTGGTGAGGGTGCTGGTTTCCAATTACCGAAATGACCTCGTTTTTCCCTAATTTTAGCGTTCCTCTTTTAGACCTTCAAGGGTTATTTTAGAGAAGAATAAGATATGCTTTTGGTATTTTAATTTTTGTAACTACTGATTTTCATGGGTAATTTACGATTATTAATAAATTAAAATATATTTTTGAATACAAAATATTATAATCATTAATACTAAATATTTTATTGTAGGAATAAAATTAGATAAATAAAAAAATTAAATATAATTAATATTAATTTAAAAAATTACTTAATATGATGAAAAAGATCATTAACTATTAAAAGGATTTTAGTTTAAAATAACTCTTAAAAAAACACTGTTGTTTAAAATTATACCAAATAATATAAATGTACTCATAAATTATACATAGGAAATGATATAAACGGTATATAAATGATAAAGAAAATAGTGATAATTATAGAATAATTATAAAATATTTTGAGAAATAAAAATATGATAATTATATAAAATAAATTTTTAATATGTTAAAAAATATGCAATGAAAATTTATATATGATAAAATTTTATTAAAAATAAAAATTATATAATTTAATATATTAATATTATAAATTTTAATACAAATTTATTATTTATGCTTTTTGGTTAAATATTAATATTTTATTAAAAATAAATTTAAAGTACAAAAAATATTTTAATACATAATAACTTTTAAAAAATTAACAAATATACATGAAGAGATTGTTAATTCAATTCATGTTATTTATTAATTTTTATAATATATTGTTTTATAAAAAATTATTTTAAAAATTTGACAAAAGATAGTATCTAAATAATTATAACTACAAGGATATTAATTATAACATTGATTATTGTAAATGTATTAATAATAATAATAATAATGAAATAAGAATGAAGAAAATTTTATTTAAATATTTTTTTTAATTGATTTTTCTTGGAATCTGACCTAACTTTTAAAAAATATTGGACTTGTAAACATGTTAAAGGTATTTAAATAGAACAAATTTATTATGTCTTATTAACTTACCTAACAATTAATTAAAACAATAGATGATAGATTATGTTTCCTACACTTGATCTTAGCCAAAAGGCTCAGAAAAGATATTATGTAACTTTGAGTTAATGTTAAGTATGAAAATTAACTTTCATGAAAGTTATGTATTGGAGATTAACACTGGCTATGACTTTGAAAACTTGGCTGCGGAGTTCTTATATTGTAAGATTATTAGTTTTCTATTAAAGTATCTCCAGTTACAGTTAGGTACTAATCCGAGGAAGCCTAGTATATGGAAGGGTGTGTTAAAGGCTTTTAAAAAGATATTGACATCATGAAAGCATAGGTATTTATCGATTGGAGGCAGGGTGACTTTGATTAATATTGTTCTTAATTCTATGTCATTGCATTTGTTATCCTTTTTGAAGACGTCGAAGTTAGTAATAAAAGATATTGTCATTATCCAACATAATTTTTTATGGAATAGTGTTAAGGATAGATCTAAAATTCTCTAGGTGAAATGAGAAATGGTTTGTAGACCGCGAAAGAATGGTGGCTTGGGCATTAGGAATGTGCAGTGATTTAATTGGGCGCTCTTAGTAAATGGTTGTGGTGAGGTGTTAATTGTTCTAGTTCATTGTGGGTGCAGGTATTGAAAGTTAGGTATGGCAAATTAGCTTATTCTATTCAATGTCCATCAGTTCACAATAAATGTTCTTTGTGGTGGTGTAATTTGCTGGAGATTATTCATTAAGGGAATTCATGGCTGAATAAGAAGTTGGATAGGAGTGTAGGTGCAGGTTTGCACACTCTTTTTTGAAGAGATAAGTGGGTAGGCGGAGTGCAATTGTGTGAGTCATTTCCGTGATTATTTGCGGTGGCGAAGAATGATGAATCTTGTGCATTGGAGAATGATTTTCATGATGACACTATGTGGATTTGGGATGTTAATTGGAGAAAATGACTCTTTCAACATGAGATCTCAAGCTTTAATATTTTGTTGAAGCTTGTGGATGAAGTTTCTATTAAGGTACTACAAGAAGATAAATGAATATGGAGGCTAAATTCTTCAGATTGTTATTCAGTACAATCTGCGTATTCATAACTATTTGAATTTTTTGGTGGTCCTAATAGTGTAGATCAGTGTACGGCGAATGCCTTGCAAAGGCTATGGAGAGGAAAGGTTTCTCTTAAGTGTTTGGCATTTTCTTAACAATTGTTATTGAATGCACTTCCTTATAAATATTTGCTGATTGATCATGGTGTTCAAATTGATGATATAATTTATTGCTTCTGTTATGATTTGGAGGAACTTCCAACTCATATATTTTTAATGTGCTCAGTTTCATCTTAAATCTGGTATTTTACTACGTGTTGACTTTGATTCTCACTAGTTTTGTAAAAGAGAAGGGATATATTTATCAATTGTTTAGGTAAGTATAGTATGGTATTTGTGGTTACATAAAAATTGAATTGTGTTTTCTAATGGTGTTTTGGATAAAAGAGAAGTCTTACGTTTTATTATTCTGAGGTCTTGGAAATGATTATCACTTGTTAGTAAAGAAGAAGCTATTTTGTTAGCTGATTGATATTTGAACCCACAAAATTGCATCCGTCTTAACTTTGTATAAGTATATTTTTATTATTTTATTTTTCGGAGTAAGTATTAATTTTTTCCCTCTATGTATATAAATTTTGAGTTTTCCTTGAATTATCTCTAATAATATATGTTTTGTCTGTAAAAGAAAAATAGATTATATTTCCTATTATTCTTATATTGACGGCTAAACAAGTCTTTCTTGTAAAATTAATTCGATCATCCAAATTATTTTTATTTGATAAAATAAAAGATATTAAAATGAAATAATATAGTCATCTTTAAGTTTTTAAAATATTATTAAATTATTCTAATCATCATATTAATTATATTTAATTAATTCAAGTCAAGTGAGTTAAACCTATTTGTATTTTTAAGATTAAAATTATACTTTTAAAAAATTATGCGCGTCAATAAAGAGTTTGGTAAAATAGGAGATAACCTTTATCATAAATATTATAATTTTATGCACCGTTTATTATTTTTTATATGAGAATATGATAATTTAGAAAAGATATGATATACTCTTTTATGCCTTTTTTATGTGGCTGGATATTGGTGGGCTTCGATTTTCAAAAACTTAAATATAAAGCAAAATTTTATGTGATTAATGAAGTTAACTACATTTTTAAATTACGGTGAAATGGTCAGAAAGGTTTGACTTTAAATAAGTATAAATTTAGAATATTATAATTATCTTTAAAAAATTAATACATATTATAGAATTAGGTTTTTGTTGTTTTCAAATTATTTTATGCACGTATATAAATATTCCTTATTGGACTTTCTTTTACCTCTCCCTATCCGTACATAACTACTAGTTGTTGGCAATGTTTTTATCTGTGTTTGTTGTGCTTTGAATTGGGAGAACCAACTGGAGCACGACTCTCACTCAACCACTTCAACATTCAACCAATTGCTAACCCAGGGACATGGGATGAGAATGCTTAGCAAGACATTCTTTAATATATTTTTTTTATTATTTAAAATTTATTAAAAATTTCAAAAGTATAAAAAATATTAATTTATAAATAAAAAAAGTATATAATATAATATAATTTTTGTAATTTTTAATAAATTTCAATTAATAATAAAAAGTATCTTACAAAAAGTGTGTTAAGATGTTTGTTGCTAGCATTATTTATCATGAGATTTTTTTTTTGACAAAAAAAATTTCTTCTAATTAAAAAGTGACATGTCACTACAAATTCAAATATTTATAACTCGCATATATATGTTTTGTTCTTTATATTTTGTTATGATTTATGGTACTATTCACTTATAATTATTATATATTTAACTTTTTATTTAATAAATGTTGTTTCTTTAATAAAAAATTAATTACTAAAAATATTATGTAATTTAGACTCTATTCATATTCTAAATAATGAATTTTTAATCATAAATAAAAAATGACAAAAATAACAAAATAATAACAATAAAATATAAGTTTAAATTGATATATTAAAACTTAAACTCGAAACTACATTAAGTTAGTAAGAACAACTCTCACTTCAATTTTTTGAGGGTCTTCACACTCAAGACAACAAGTTAAGCTTAAATAATCCTTTACTAGTTGATTAGCGAGCTTAGTGGTAGACAATATTAATTTTATAATTTTAATTAACAGTAAAAAATATTTTAAAATTATATTAAAACTTAATTTATTGCAAAAGTTAGTTTGTTTCTTTAATTTTTGTATTTTAAATCTGCCCTCTTTTTTTTATTAGGGCTCTAACTTTTATTTTTATCTTAAGTTATATAATACGTTAGAAATTGCGTTTGAATATATGTGTATCTGCATTTAATTTAACACTGCTAATTGTAGCTTCTGCAATGAATTCATGTTTACAAATCTTTAACTTGAATGTAAACACATTCTTAGTCATTTTGTTATAACATTATTAAATCTAACTGTAAATTGCTTTTTCAAAATTGGTCTTGACTTGTTTATTTATTTGTGTATATATATACCACAAAATACAACAAAATTTTAGAATAAAGGTTATGTATTAATAATAAATAAAATTCCTAAATATATTGAATTAATTATTATCAAAATATAATATTATATGATTGCAGTAAAATGAGTCTTAACAAAATTCAATTCAATCTTCTGTTTTAGCAAATAAAATCATACAAAAATTAGACATGTTGATTGCAGCTTAATATTTAAAAGAACCCTTCAATCATGAAAAGAAAAAATAAAAAAAGATGAGATTCAAAATTAAGATTCGATCAAAACAACTAATTTTGACACTTTAATTCCTTGTTTTAGTCAATAAAATATCCAAATATTTACATATTAATCACAATACAATATTTAAAAGAACTTTTCAATCAATTTCAATAATCATTAAAAAAATCATTTTTAACGAGATTTTAACAAAATTTTTACGCAACTAAACTGTCATTTTGGTTACTGAAAGAGTTTGCTGATAAATTTGTAATTTGGCCCTATTTTACAACTCATATATTTATATTTGACCTTTATTTCATTTTGATTTTACACAAATTTATATTGATTGCGTAGTTTGGTAAAAGAAGCCGAAAGTGAATTTTTAGTACATTTTGGGGCCAAATTGATGAAAATTAAAGCTTCAAAGTAGTAAACACGCCCAATCTCTTTTAAAAAGCACAGGAGGTACTTCGAGAGCATGCACGATCGTCCTTATTACCTTGCACGGCCGTGCTTGTTTGCAGAAAACCCAATCTTGGGAAGTTTAAAGGAGTCTCAAACCCTATAAAAAGGGAGATCAAATGCATCGTGAGGGAACATTCTTTTGACACTATTTTACATACAATCTTAGTTTTATGAGATGTCTATCATTTTTGTCTCTCGAATCATTGGCATACTTTTGGCAGAATAACAAAAATTCATAGACAATAGTTCTCATAGCCTTAATTATAGACTTAATTACTCGAGAACTATTTTGATTTCACTTAAACACAAAATCTTGAGTTGTAAGTGATGAAGTTGTAATTGGTGTGATGGTAATCTATTACATGAGTGTGATTTGAAAACGATGAGTTGGGTTCTGAACAATAGTGACTGATTTTGATGATGTTATAGTTTACAATGGATTAGGACAACAATAAATGTTTTAACATGACTTTTCTATCATTTGACGAGTGTAAGAACTTCAATCCCTCTTCCCTTCCCCTTCTTCAAAGCCACCAAACATCTTGCAAATGCAGTTCCACATAAACATTCTCTATCATCTCTTCCACCAGATCCTTTTTAAATAGAATCTCCACTAGCTTTCTTCTCTTTCTCTCTCTTAGGGACTAAAATGTTCGTTGGTGACAATCTCAATGACTAAAATGCTCATTGGTAATAATTTTAAGAATTAAAATGCTTGACAAGTTATAATTTCAAGGACTAAAATGCAACAAAAATATATACTATACTACATGCGATGTTGTTTTTGCCACATAATAAATACACATGTCACGTTTTGCCACGTAAACAACGACACATGTCAATTAACATGACATGTTAACATTTTATTATTGTTTATTAATGGTGTTTAAGTTTAGGAACTTAAATGTACGACAGAAATAAAAGTCAAAGACTAACGTGATATTTTAAATTTTGCAAGGATTAAAGTGTAAGGCACAAACTCTTTCAGGGACCAAAATAACAATTTAGTTATTTTTATGATGTTATAACAAGAGCACATTTGAGATAAAAGAAAATAAATAAATAAAACTAAATTAAACAAAACTTCATATCTCAACCAGCAATAAAGAGAGATACAAAACTCTTAGATGTAATCCTTTAAATGTTTTTTTATCTTATCTTTTAATTGAACTTAAAATTTTACATTGATTAAAGGTAATATTGTCGGAAATTACTGAAATAAAACTTTTTTAAATAAAAAAAGAACTCCAAAAATATGTTACTTTCACTTTTCAATGTACATATCTTCGAATTATGCTCTCACTCAACTTTATCTAATTAACGAGTAATGACACAAACCCAAGTCAATTTTTTCCTAAAGACTTACTTCACATATATGCATAAATTATACACATTTACCATATTGAATTACATCTTGCTGTTGTGTCTCCCAAATAGTGAATGACGACCTTCAGCTATCAATTCTCCAGTTGCTTTATTTTTAAGGAGAACAATCGTCCCAGAATAACCTCCTTTCCTTCCTAACAGCCTAGATGTAATTTCTAGTTCATCCTGCAACAAAGTAAAATACACATAACAATATTATTTTTCATTTAGTTCTCATAAGAAAAACACTCTAATTATAATGTCAACAAACGATAAAGACTAATATATAAAAACACTCTAATCACAATGCACCCATATGTTTTAAAGTCGAGTTTGATAAAATTTACTCTGAACTGTTAAACGTAATTAGAATATATCCTAAAAATTAATTGATTTTCGAATAATTAAGGCTTAAATCTTAATAAATAGACAGAAAGTAGGGTTTGGTCTGATGAATCATTGAATTGTAATTTAAAAGAAGGGAATTGACAGAAACGAAGGATGGTGTTAACTTACGCCAACACGAGCAGTTGAAAGAAAAGAAATAGACATATCAACGGAAACATTAAAGGGAAGACCCTCTTCGTGAATTACAGCACCTCCAACCTCATCCACCAGATTCGCTATTGCTCCTGTCGCCAATTTCCCACTCTTATCCTGCAATTCAATCAACATCTATTCAATTTTATTTAAATACATAAATATAATTAAATAGATGGATAATAAGAATAATAGTTACAGCGAGGCGAGAGGGAACTTTGAAAGAACAGGTGATGGAACCGGGTTTGACTTGGTCAACTCGGATGCCGGTGAGGATGAAATGTTCATAGAAGGTGGAGTCGTCGCCCGGTCTCAGGGAAGGAACAGTGTTGAGTCGTGAGATAGCATCAGATTCTTGTTCGTTCAGTCTCGGCTGCACCATTTCTCTCACCTTCGCCATCTTTGTTTCCCTTCCTCACCTCGCTGCCCACTTCCCCATTAAAAGGGCCTGTTGTTGCAATTTGGATCGTCACTTAGCTTGGGCCCAATGGGCTTCAAAATCTAAACATTTAATTGATTATTAATTATATATATATGATTAATAGTTTATTTAAAAATATATAAATGTTTTTTAATTTTTAAAATATTAAAAAAATAACAACATTTAGTCTAGAGAAAATATATAATGTCTTCTCAAGTTTAAGAGTACTTTAACAAGTATCTTTTTTAAAACACAAATATTTGTGTAGATAATAATAATATTTGAATTAAATAAAATTATAAATTTTTAATCCTTAATTAAAATCTATGTTAGAGACATACTCCTTCTACATGTAAGAAATTTTTATAGTTAATCTAACTATAAATTACGTATAATAACCCCCTCAATGTAATCATAGTTCAAACCTAAGACACTAGAGCAATTCAACTCTAAAATTAATTGATAAACATAAGGGCTCTTGGTGGTGGTGGCTGAGCCTGAGTGAATTGTATGGGGCCTTTGGCAATGATTAGGTTCACATAACTTTGGATTGTTAGATATATTAAGGTGATGTAATATATACCAAATGGGGTGGTGCCACGGTGAAGAATTGGTGAAGCCTTCAAGTTAATGCAACAATTCATTGAGAGCATTAACAGCATCCCAAGTTTAATGTATCAATTTGTCATACCCCTCCATTGTTAGGGATATCCATATTCCATTGCGGTTGTGGAAAGAATGAAAGATAAACTCCTTTGTTAAATAGACCCTTGAAGCCCAACAAAGAAAGAAAAATGTGTCCTACCTAACAGATAATTTTATGAATCTAAATTACAACATTTTTTTTTATCAGTGTTAGAATCAATTATACGGTACCCAACATGTAATCAAACATACTCTTAAATTGTGGATTAGAAGTTAGAACAATTTTAATGCTAGAACATGTGGAATTGCTAACACTAATTTCGTTAAAAAAAAAATAATCTCACGGAAAAATATGTGGGTCTTGTACAATTTTTTATTTGTCTTAAGCTTAAAGGTTAAGAAAGTATTATGTTATGGTAAAATGTTATTTGTTCTGGTAAAGCACAACCGAAATTGCTGTTCTCTTCTCTTATCATAACGTATGTGTAGATGAAGTAGATATAAAGTAAGCAGGAACATAATTGAAGAATACACTAATTAATTATGCATATGTAATTTTCACAGTTTCTGTGTATGGTGGATATAATTATTCCTAATTAACAAGTTGTTACTACTTGTTGGCACAGCTCATTAGGAGCAGTTTGAACCGAAAATGACGGCATTATCTAGGTGTATAAAATATAGGTATAAAGTAACAAGTAATTTTTTTTATTAAAATTAATGTTTACATTAGTAATATATATCAATCTTTAAAAATAATTTTAATCATAAAAACAATTTTTAAAAAAGTTACTATAATTTTGTTTATTATGTACCTTTGAAAATAATATATATATGTAAAATAGCTTAAGATAGCGTTGCAACCGGAACGTAAAAGGAGGGTGCACGTGTGTTTGGCAAAACCATTAAAGTGGTATTTGGAAATTGCGAAACCTCGTAGATCAAGATTCCCATGCGAAGCACCGTGTCTGCTGGGTCAAGGCTTTGACTTCAAATTTTGTAAAAGCTTCAGGGTCAACTTTTTTTTTTATTATAAACTTTTTTAATATATTTCTAAAATTAAGTTTAAGTACTTACATATATTAATTTTTTAATAATAAATAAAATATTTATTACATTAAAAAAATAAATCATAGTCATTATTTTTAAAAATAAAAATATATTATTATTAATTATTTATATTTAACTTTAGAAGTTAAGATTAATATATTTTTATTAATTTTAAATGCCAAAACTGAGTTTAAATAACTATTTTAAATATTTTTATTAAAAATTAAGTATTATTTATATTTGAAATGCAGATATATGATAAAATATTTTTAATATAATATATACTACATTAATTAAAAAAACTTAATCTATGAACTCAAGTTTTAAATAACAAGATTTTTTTTTATTTTTTAAAATTAATTAATTTCATTAAACCAATAAAAATTATTATATATCATAAATATACATTATAATATAACAATTCTCGTAATATTAATATTAAATAACCAAAATAATAGCTTATATATTAAACAAAACATGAGTAATGAGTTAATGTTTTGTTAATAAATAAAAATGATTTAACAATTAAAATTCTGAAAATATATTTTAATTTATTATAGTTAGTAAATTTTTCACATTGATATAAAATTACATTAATTTTTAATAAATAATTTTAAATGACTTTCATTTAAAATTATTTTTACTCAATAATTAGTACTCAAAATTTATTAAAAAGTTGATTGATACCAAAAAATAGTAATAATTATTTTTATAAATAATTAAAAGTTAAATTAAAAAACTAAAAGTAATATTTACTAATGAGAGTACTTGATATTGTTATTTTTTTTTACTTTTAATTTATTATTATTATCTTTATACCACTTTATATATTTAATAAAAATAAAAAATTGCATGAAAATATAAAAAATAACTTTAACATAAATAAAGATATTAATTATATGATTTAGTGTCTGAAATGGTCAAACTTAAATAAACCATATACTTTATCACACATAAATTAGGAAGTTATAAGACTATATATGTTTATGCAAAAAAATAATTTTATATATAAAGTTTTTTTCCCCTGTAAATGAGGGTGATGAGGCTGGGCCCAGCATCACGGAGGCTTAATTTTATTCCCGCATACTTTAGGCTATAAGTATTCAAATAATAATACATTATCTATTTTTCATGTTTTATTATTAAAAGTTTTTGCACATAAATTTAAAACGTTTTAATTGATATAATGTGTAATATTTAATTTGATTAAATAAAGTACTTTTATTTATACTTTATCTATTTCATTTTTTATTGAAAAATTAAGATTAACTGACAATTAATGTTAAGAAAAAAGTGAGAATATCGAGTAAGATTAATAAAATAACAATAATAATAATAATCTCAAATTTAGTAAGTAAAAAGATTGGTCATGTACAATTTTAACATAACATGGTGATATTGAATATTTATATATATTCCATTCGATATTAAATAGTATTCATAAATAAACACAGGGTTTAAATATCACCGGTGATGTGGATGAAACACATTCTGATAAGGAATAGAAGACATTACGGACTACTATATCATTATGACAAGCAATAATAGATCAAAATTTGAAATTTTGAATGAATGACCGAATTATGAAGATTCATATGAGGAAGTTTTTAATGTGTAATTAATGAGATTAATTTCTTGACGTGTTACTTTATGTAACTTTAATGTGTGCCCTTTATTGATACCCATAAAGCTGTTGCAGTAGTTACCAGTTCAATGGATAGGAGTTGGAAATAATATAATATTTTGAATACAATATTAAAAATGAATGTTAAGAAAGGCGTGTAAAAAAAGAAGAAAGGATATGATATAGGATGATTAGAAAACAAGACATGAAAACAAAAATGATTAGAAAATGAAGATTAATAGTGATAGAAATGGGGGTTTATGAAGGGGTTAGAGTTCGATGGGAGGGAGAGACAGGAGAAGCAGTAATTCAGATAGATAATCAACATCATTATCATGCTTCCCCACTCCACTCCGTACTCTTCTGTGCATACTTATGCTGTGTCTCCCACTACCTCTCTTTCAGCCAAACCACAAACACTCACATAACATAACATCACACTACAATGCTCAAACCCTTCTCATGATTCCATGACTTCCAAACCTCACCGCCTCTCCGCCTGTCACCGCCATCCCACCGTCCCCGTCACCGGATTCTGCGCCCTCTGCCTCCGCGAACGCCTCTACGGCATTCACTCCAATGACTCCCCTCCGCCGCCCGACCTTCGCCGCTCCAAATCCTGCTCCCGGTCTACCACCGCTGATGCATCGTCCGAGCCCCGCCGCCGCTCCTGCGAGGTTCGACCGCGGAGCTCGCTCTCCGATCTCTTCTCTCTCGATGACTGCAGGAGAGGTCGGAACCGGAAACCGAACTTCGAATCGGTGAACTTGGGAGAGATTAGGGTTTGTGATGGAGACGACGACGAGGAAACGAAGACGGTGAAGGAGTTCATAGATCTCGAATTGCAGCGCAGGAAGAAGAGCGCCGGGAGGGATTCTAGAACCTTCTGGAACGCGGCCACCGCGTTCGGCGAGAAATTCAGGAAGTGGAAATGGAAACACAAGTCGAAGAAGAATCTCAACGGTAATGATACTAATAGAGGCGTCGAGAAGCGAAGAGCGAGGCGATTGAGGGACACGCAATCAGAGATTGGGGAATGCAATTTTGGGAGAAGATCTTGCGACACTGATCCGAGGTTGTCGATTGACGGGGGAAGAATTTCCATGGATTGCCCTCGAGCTTCTTGGGATGGATGTTTGATTGGTAAAGCATGTTCAAGACTTTCACCAATGGTTTCGCTCGAGGAGGATGATGCCAATGATGGTAACAGTATTGGTTTGGAAAGTGCAGGTGATCGCCGGAGTTATGATATTGATAGATCAAACTCGCCTAGGAGGAGGTCGATTTCAGAGGTTGATGAATTGAAATTGATGTCAAATGCAAATGCAAATGCAAAGGTATCTCCTGCTACATTCTATAGTGCAAAGTTGCTCATTACTGAGAAGGAGTTGATGGATAGTTATGTGAAATCTTCGAGTGATGTTGTTCAGTCTGATTCTATAATAGAATCTGATTCCAAGGATGCGGCTGACGTTGTTGCCACTGGGGTTAGGCAAAAGGGTTTCAAGAAATTGCACAAATGGCGCGGCATGTGGAACAAGTTGGGATTGGCACAGAGAAGAGAATGTAAGTTGGGGGAAGAAGAGTGTGATTCAGGGGTTGTGGTTAATAAGCCACTTGGAGATTCTTTGCAAAGGTTGAGGAGGGTGGTTAATGTACAAGCAAGTGAGCCTGTTGGTCCGAAGCTTATGCGTAGCTATAGTGTTAGCTGTAGAAGCCCTTGTAGAGTGGATGGTTTTGTTAACAGTGTGGTGGAGGATCCTGAGGCTAAAGGAAATGTTTTGAATGGAAGACAAGAGTTCATGTTTCAGAGGAACCGGAGTGTTAGGTATTCGCCAAATAATCCAGACACTGGCTTATTAAGGTTTTATTTGACACCTTCAAAGAGCTACAGGAGAAGCAAGTCTGGAAGGAGTAGTATGAAGGATTTGCATTCTATAGCCAGAAGTGGCTTGTGAAAATGTATTATCTGTTGAAAGCATATCTGGTTGTAAAAACATATATAATGTAATTTTTGTTGTTCTAAAAGATGAAGTACATCACACTGTTAGATTATGGTTGCAATTTTTCTATTGACGCTGGTAGCAGAAATAAAGTATTCTTTCCATGATGCTGTTGAGATGGTAAATTTAAGATTGAAACAGTCTTAGGAGCAACACTTGATTTTGCTAGAATTTATTACAACGAATTATTTGATGGTTTTATATTTTGTTGATGAAATGTCTATGAACTGGTAAATTGCTGCCTTGAGTGCTGCAATGGCATTTCACTTCATATTGGGCAAAGATTAAGGTTTATCTCTCTAAATGCAGCATGAAAGGCTCCGACTAATCCAGTTTCTGATTTAGCTATGCTGTTAGTTATAAATGCACGAACTACAAGTTGTTAAGTGTAAACTTTCCTCAATTATTCAGAACCAGAACCTACGTTTCTTTTTTATGACAACCAAATTTTTGGCTAGCGGGGCAAGTGTAGTAAAGATGGGTGGATTTCAAATTCTCTTTACAATGTCTCACTCATAAAGACGAGAGGGGAAAAGGTTTGAAAATAATGGGGGCAAAAATGTCTCTAATATGGTAATGGAAAAATTTGAAGTGGAGTGGGAACATGTGTGGCCATTGTCAATGTGTCAACTTGTTCTTTTTCCCTTCCTTTTCAGTTTAGGATTGCAGGTATGCTTTGTAGAAGACAATTCTATTCAAGTTGGGAATATATGCTATAGTGAGGCTAACTTTCTAAAAGAACACAACAAATCATTTCATTAATAATGCTTTATGCTTAGTTGTAGAGATTTTGCAGGTTCTGTAAGCAACATATCCTGTTTCTGGGTTAAAGCCTATAAAGTCAAGAATCACTGACATCAAAGCATCTGATTCATTGGCTGCTACCGTTGTACTTGCTTTGTATTTGGCAGTTGAATGGGGGCCTGGATGCATTAACAGACAAGGGAAAACGATTTATAAGTTTTAAGCTTGTAATAGTCATTACTCATTTATGGTTAATTGCTAGTTTAGCAAAAGCTTGAGAAAAATTCCAGTTGCATGTTTAATAGTCCATGACAGAGAAAAGCGTGTTGCTTTTTATTTATCATCCTTTTTGTGTGTGTGTGGCTTTTTCAAACCTAAAACTTTTCGTGGTCCTGCTTTTTGTTGGTACCTTGATTACTTTTGTTTTGTTTTGTTTTGTGTTGAAGTACATCCCTTGGCTCTAACGTTGAAAGATTAGTTAGCAAATTCTGTCAGTTTACTCATCCTATTGGCTTGCAATTGGGAATGGGTCCTTGAGAATCTAGTTTACCTCCGTTGGAATATCCTATTTCTATTATGGTGGTTTATTTCTTCAGTTAAACATGTTTGTCATTGAATTTAAATGGCGCTTGGGTTTTGGAAATATGGCCATTGAAAGTACATGGTGAATCTTAGTTTATGACAAAGGTCAGCCAGCTCCCTAGTCATTCTGTATTTTCTGGTACTGTCAAAAGTGAATTACTCTCTGCATATCTATCTGGTATACATCTCTGCAAAGCAAGAATGGCGAGCCTCTTTTCATGTTATATTAGCTTGTTGGTTTTGAAGTAGTTTCTTTTTTACATTTCCTCCTTATTTTCTTCTAATAGCTGTAGGTTTTGCTGATGAATAAAACCAATAATGCTTTGGATGTTGACCATGAAGATGAGGAGCAAAGACTTCTAAGTGTTACCGTTGGTAAGTTGAAACTCTGACTACTTTCCATAAAGCGCTTGACTTTACGGTAGTCTTCCAATGATGTTGTGGCCATACACTAGTGCATTAGAAAAGAAATGTCTGACTTAAAGTGCTTTTTGGAACAGGAAGCACAACCATTGACTTGCAAAATTGCAAATCTGAGTTCCATGAATTAAATTCGCATTGTTTGATTTTGGGGGGGGGGGGTCCACATTTATATAAATATTATTTGATGGACAATGTTTGGAAAGATTAAGAAAATACAATTTTTTTCTTTCAAAACAATTTTAGGAAGTTACAAAAATTGCAATTATATTTTCTAAAAAGGTTACAATTCATTCGAACTCCATTTCACCTAAAGTAAAAAACTACCGCTCGTTTGGTTTATAGTGAATCGAATTGATTTTGACGATATTCATTTTTAATTGTTGAATATAATTAAAATAAACGTATAAATTAATCTGAATTACATACTTTTTATTCAAACATGCATTTTTCTTAAATGCAATAATTGATTTTTTGAAGTCTAAACTAAATGACTCTATAAACTGCAGAAAAAATTGTTAAAATGTGTGTGAACAGAGTTTGACATATAAAGCAAATAGGCATTAAGCCCAATAGTAATACTTACACTATTTAGTTGTTTTTTTATATATTAAATATAGATTCAATAAATTTAACTTTTGAATTATACAATATTATCATAAAAATTATGCACATTAATTTTAAACAAATTGAAATTTTATAACGTGTGACTTTATAATTGATTTTTTTTATAAATTAAAAAATAAAATAAAATTTATGTTGAAAATAAAGCTAAGCAACATAAGATTAATTGATTTTAAAATTATAAAATTTTATAGAGAAAATATGCTTTGGGAACCAGCTCTTCTAAGCTATACATACTAAAATTCAATATTTATTAAAAGTTATTATAAACTCCATGACAATACTTGTGGTAATTCCAAAAAGATATTGTTAATATATTTTACAATAAACAAATGTTAAATAATATGAAAAACTATATCTGAAAAATGTTAAATTAAGAGTTTATAAAGTTGAAACACTATATGAAGTAACATTTGTTAAAATGTTACAAATTAATGAAATGAGTTCTTTTACTGAATAATTCTATTTTAGTCAAACTTTTAAACTAATTAAATAAATTAAGTTGAATTACTTGCACTCAAAATGCGGTCAAATTAACAAAACTGAATTCACTAGAAAAATGTACAACTGATACAATTCTCTCGACCAATTGCCCCGGCTCCCTGGCATAATGTTTTGCATTTGACATCGTACATGTTTAATTTTGCTAAATTTCACATTTGACACTTGAGGTTGTACATGTTTACTTTAGGTTTTTTTAATATTAAATAAAAGCAGCTCTTCAAGCAAATGTTCTATCTGGAACAATGTTTTTCTATAAATCACAAAAGAAGCTAATCCAAATTAAGTCATCATCTCAAGCAAAAAGCTTATAGCTAATCTGCTCTTAAGCTTTGCAAAGCAACTTCCCACTTGAGAATAGCTTGTTGCATTCCCATTGCTTAGATTTTGTAAAGAAGAAAATAAGAAAACAGCAACAAGCCTAATGCAACAAGGAACATTGCAAGGTAAGATACACAAGTCACATACATAACCCATCAACAAAGAATAACCGACTGATCAGTCTTCTGTGTCTTTCCCATGATTTATTATAATTATAAAATCCAAACACAGAAAAGTACAAACTCTGTATTTACTACAACGAATAGTTTCATGTACTTACTGCACTCATTCATTCACATCAAAGCCCTTCTCTTGAAGCTCAGCAATGACCTCATTCCTCATCCTTATCCACATTTTCTGAGCTTCCTGCTCAAACTTCTTGTCCTTAAGCTCCTTCTTGTAGTCACTTTCATCCTTATCACCCTCAACCATCCCTTTTGGACCAATTGTTGTTCCAGTCATTCCACCTTTGGCAATGAACTCCTTCATTGCCTCTTCATCACCCGGGTATGGAAACTGCCTCCGCTCGTACAAATGAGCAAGCTCCTTCTCTTCCTTTGGTCGTGGCTTCAGTGTCCACCAACCCAATGGTGATGTCTCATTGTATAACCACACTGCCCCAATCACTGCATAGGTGCATAGCAAAGCCTTTCCAATTTGTTTCCAAAAGTAGTAGTTCTCCTTCCCCAACCCTATTTTCTTAAGGAAATGCTGCGCATACTGTATACCTGCATTGGAAGAAAAACGGGTGCAAATTTTTCATGAAAAATGCAAGATTCTTGTGTGAAACATTTCATCAAAAACCTTGTGTGCAAGGTTGGATCTCACAAAAATAAATACTTATGGTATAGAAATGGTTTACCACGGAACGTGAGAATCTATCTATAGATATTTCGATTTGTGGGGTTGGCAGAAAGGTACCTGTTATGGGTTCCGGTTCCTGAAAGCGCTTACGAGGCATTGCGAAGGTGAGACTCAGATGAACATGGAAGGATAGTGGTGATGACGTGGGGAGTTTAGTAGTCTTGGACTTTTTTCGATCAACAGTTTTTGTTTGGTAGAATTTTTGGACATTCTTTTTGGTCCGAAGTTTTTAGACTTCTAGTTTATTCCATTTTGGTGTGAGGCCATTATAGGCCCAAAGCTAATACATTGGTTTACCAAAACAAGCTTTTATTGTCTTTTTTTTTTAAAAAATATTTTCGTGGTACAACTAATGAGTTTCTTGTATATCCAATGATTTTTTTAAAATTTAAATAAAAACGTAATTTTTTTATGAAACTGGAAACATAAAGTATAAAATTGAAAAATTCAAGTTTAAAAAAATGATATTCATAATTAAATTAAAATTTATTTATAAAAAAGGATTGAAAATTGTGTATTATTTTTTGAGGGAGAAATAAGAATTAAGAAATTTTCAAATAGTATCGTTTGATTTTAGTAAACCAGGGAGGACCGAAATCACTTAGAAAGAATTTTCCATTTGAATTAATATGATTCAGTTTAATGTAGTTTATCATCAATGGATTTTAATATAATTTATCATCAAAATCTCCTGGCTGATTTTTTCTCATATGGAACGATATCAATTTAGCATTAAAAGAAAACAGGACGTAGCTATGTTTGTAAGCACTAATGATGAGAATGATCTGATACATTGTGAATGTTTATAGGACGTAGCAATGTTTGCAAGCACCACCAATAAGGACTTTATATATTGATTTTGAGCATAGTTGATGTTGTATAGAAACTGCATAATTTGAACATCCTTGGGAACCAATTTTCAGCGAAGTGTTCCAACCGATCTTTTGTATGTATACAACTTTGACACCATGAGGAATACAATAAAATTCAACACACTTAACCCTGTCAATAGCAAGAAGAAATAATCAAGATGACCATAGTTTAGATTGTCAGGTAACCATCCAGGGCCTCCATTTCTAGTAGTGACCTTAGACACAATTGTTATGAGCAAAGAGCTCAAGTACTGTCCAAGTGCAACAGTGAGGAGTGAGAGGGCAGAGCACATGCTTCTCATGGCATCAGGGGCTTGCTCATAAAAGAACTCTAACTGGCCAATGAATGTGAACACTTCAGCACAGCCTATTATGAAATATGGTGGAACCTGCCAAAAAATTGACATGGGCACCTCCTTAAGTTCATAGTAGTTGTGTTTTCTCACCATTTTAAGTCTCATATACTCCAACATTACTGCATATACCATAGAAAATATGGATATGAAAAGGCCAATGCCCATTCTCTGGAGCTGAGTTAGGCCATTTTTGTGGCCACTGAACTTTCTAGCTATCGGCACAATGATCCTATCATACACTGGGACCCAAAAAAGGACACTGAGGGTATCAACCATAGAAAGAGAAGCGGCTGCAATATGAAACTTTGAGTTGCCTACTTGATTATCCATGGCTTGCCCTTGTAGTATAAAGTAGTTGCTCATTTGACCATAAACAGTAGCAAATATGATGCCAGTGGCCCATACAGGAAGCATTCTTACAATGGCTTTCAGCTCTTCCACTTGAGTTACACTGCATAGTCTCCATGGGTTTACCGGGTCCTTAACATTATCTGAATTTCCTAACACTGCTGCTTTGTCAAAGAATCTGTTACACACAAAAAAGGTAAACGTGGGTTTAAACTAGACAAAGCAACAGGACTTTGTCTTTTTCTTTATTTTGTGTCTCAAAAGTAGGTTGTTGTTTAATAATTAAAAGAAACATTTTGGACAACCTTTTTAGTCTGTGCAAGAGTTATAATCCGACCAAAGCATTTGAAAGACTAATGATTATAAATTTATATGATTGTCATATGTTGATAGGATAGCATGTGAAATGGCATGAGTGTAGGCTACAAGTACTCCCTGTTAGCTCAGAAATAAAGTGTAACATCAAAATTTCCTCAGGTTTTGAATACAAAGAATACAAACAACACATCTTTGACATTCCTTTTAAGACTCAATAACTTGGACTCACTCTCTATTAACAGACCCCTCCGTGACTTAACCCAATACCCAATGTTAAAAAGCGTGTTAGTAGCGTTTCTCAATACGATGAATAAAACATAAGGAAATTTGTTGCTAATGGTTTACCTTAATCCATTTGAGTGTTCAAGCTTGCGGCTTCCTTGGATAGTAGATTCTGACTCTTCTATCTCATACAAGAGAGACTTATCATTAGGTACTTCAACATCACACTTCCTTATAGAAGCTACTATTACCTGAAACATGCGAGTGAGGGGGCTACCTCCAGGCTTCTGATTTCGGTACAACCTTGTACCAGAGAAGAAACTCACCACAGCAATTGCCATGGCCACTGCTGGAATGCCAAAGCCTAATCCCCAACTTACATTTTCTTGTACCCACACCAATAGAGAAGCAGCAATAAGAGCACCAATATTGATTGAGAAATAGAACCAGTTGAAGAAAGAACTCTTGTGTTTCTTCTCTGCTTCATCAGCATCATCAAATTGGTCTGCACCAAATGATGAAACACAAGGCTTGATCCCACCAGTGCCAAGAGCTATAAGGTAAAGAGCTACAAAGCACACTGTCCTCTGTCCTTGAGTAGCATGACAATTATCTTCTGCATAGCATGTTGGTTTTATGCCAGGAACTGATGCAGACAATGTCAATAGTACCATTCCCTAGGCAGGAAGGGAAATGTTTTTTATATTTTTCTTACCAATCAAGAAGATAAAATTTGATATAAAATTGTAACATTTTGTACACATGATTATTGGTTGTATTCTCAACAGTAGAAAACCCAGCCACTAATTAGAGCTTCAAATTCTGTGTCTTACTTTTAAGCTAGTAATCATGTAAAGATTGAAGAGACCATACTCACAATAACATAGACTATTGAAAAACAAAGAATGGTCAAATATCTTCCAAGATAGGCATCAGCCACAAATGCTCCAATCAATGGAGTGATGTAGCATGTTCCACCCCAATTTGCTACATTCTTGGAAGCAGTAGCACCATGCTGATGTAGTTGAAACTTGAAATAACTCACCAGATTTGTGCTCATCCCATAGAATGCCAATCTCTCACAGCATTCATTTCCTGTAAATTGAATACATACATAATTCCTAATTAATATCTTAACCAACAAAACATAATTGGGGAATGGAGATAAACAATTCTTCTTTTGTCCCTCAGATTCTTCTTAAAAGAAACAACTACTAATATTTTTTAGTTCTAATTATAAAAAACTAAGACCAATTTTCAGATGCATTAACACCTTATTTATTATGATATTTGTGTTAATGAAATACATGCGCATTATGCATATAAGTGAATATATTCATTTATTTGATATAAGTCACTAATTTGACCATCAAATAGCACAAGTATTTTCAAAATATATTATAAATTTATGATATATAAATATTTTTATTAGTCTTGATGAAGTAATGATTTATTTCTTATAAAGAGACCGGAGGAAGTAGTTACCTAAAATAAAGGGGCAGGCTCTCCAGGTTCCGGTTTCCTTTTTGTTAGCAGGATTTCCACGGTAATCTACTGTTCCATCCTTTGTATAAACATCTTCCTCAGCCATTATAATTCAGTTGATGGATTCACTTGCAACCAATCAACCTAGGAATTGACATGTTAACAAAAAAAAACTTAGGACTTACTTAGGAAAAACAAAGAATCATTGGAATAAAATTTGGCCATTGTTTTAACTCATTCTTCTCGATAGCTTATAGCCACTTACTTAGGACTTATAACCTTACCTTAGGTAAAATTATATAATTTGTATGCTAATTCCCCACAGCTTTAGATGGAGGTGTCACCTAAAAGCAAAATAGTATGCATGGTAGATGTTAGATGAAAACTAAGAGTGATAGAAGATGTCATATATAGTGTATTAGTGTGAGAAAAAAGATGACGTTTTGTTCAAGAACATTGCCTCTGCTCCAAGTTATTTTAAACTATACAAACAAGAGGTCAAATCCTGCATTAGGGAGCTGCTTCTGCTTACCTATTATATAAAGTGAACCAAAGTTTGCACCCAAAACTAAATTGCACAATAATGCAGTAAAATAGTATTTGATCATTTTTAATTTGTAGTTTGTTCATTTGCGTGACGTTGGGTTTATCATTGCTGGAAAAGGGACACGTACAACTATGCTAAGGACAATTACAAACGAACATTTTCTTGTCTTGTAACTAATGTAAACATTCAAGTGACAACTAACATTTTTTTCGTAAATAACGTAGTTCATACTGAGAATTAACTTAGGATAAGGAAATAAAATTTAAAACTCGTTAAGTTTTATTGGCTTCCGTTTGATATCTGATTTTATTTTCCACCAACTCAAACCCAAAAACTGTATGTTTGAATCCACTTTTTTTTTTTTTTGCGTTGACAAAATTCCAAACACGCGCTTAATCTGACAAAGATCACGTAGGTTTGGTTTAAATTGTCAAGTTAAAGGATATATAAGTATAAGTCGTTATATATTTTTTTTCCTTGTTAATGATTTTGAACTATAATTTTGAAATTTATCTAATTTAATCTGCTAAGAAAAGATTTGTGGTTGGTTCAAGTAATATATGCCTATTGTTGTGATCTTAACTCAAATAAAATTACTTCCAATAAAAAAAATACATGTTGTCTAAATTAAAAAATATACAAAACATTACGAGTCATTAAATTTGTGATTGATAAAGTATAAACTAACTAATTTTCCTTTTTCAGAAAAGAAAAGAAACATTTAACTTAAGTTTTGATTTCCCAATAAGACCAATGTTTAGGGCTTTTCCAAGTTACTTCACAGGGTAAATAATTCCATTCTAAATAGGTTTATGAGATTTTGGCTATAAAAAAATCAAATAAAAAGTTAATACAATTTTTAATATAATATCTTGACTTCGTTAATGTACTTATGTACTTCATGAGATAACTTATTTTCAACTTTCAAGATCTAAAGTCGTAGCAAATATTTATACATATAAAGAAAAATTACTGCCACAGGAAATCGAATTTCAAAATTTTCAAGCGATATTCTCTGATCCTACCAACTAAACCAGCTTCTATACATTTTTACCTCCAACTAAAATAAAAGCAATATATTCTTATATGATAGATAGTAAAAATAAATAAATAAAAAAGATCCATATCCAAATATAATATATTTAATGTGGTTCCAAAAACACATATTTTGATAAAAAAAACTGAATAACCATAGCCTAAAAAGGAGTTAAAATAACAAACACAACAGACAAAACCCTTAAGGAGGAAAATGAACAATATAACAATTTCAATAATCTATCTATTCCATCAGCATTTCATATTTTTAGTAAAGAGAAAAATGGAAACTTAATAATAGCATAGAAGTTAAGCCAAATCGTGTATTTCAGTTTTTGCTACTTCCAATATGTATAATTGTGATAATGGCAAGGCCAAGGTGCCGTTGTTTTAGTTTAGTGCGGTGTCTCTCATAGTAACCCTCCGAAAAAACATTTGTCACAACAATAATTTTAGTTAATTAGAGTAAAGTTTGTTTGCTCAGTTAGTGCCCATAAAAATTTTGCCACTACGATATAAATAGTTTTCTACCAAATGAAATTCCATACCATTCAGCCAAGCACATTCGTTTTAAGGAAGTGGAAGAAGGCATAGAGAACAAGGAAGATAAAAATGGGTACTCAACAAAGTATTAGCACATTAGCTTTGTTGCTATTGCTAGCTTCCTGTGTTAGAGCTCAATCTGGCCTATTCAATATAAGAAAATATGGTGCAACACATAATGGAGACATAACCAACGTAAGATCATATTAAGTTTTAATTAACAATTGAGCATTTTATTTTTATTTAATGTATTATTAAAAGAGTTATAAAATGTGAACATCTTATCCCTTCATTTTCATAATTTTGTGTTCGGTTTGTTCTTAAGGCTTTGAAAAAGGCTTGGGAAGGTGCATGTGCATCAACAACTCTCAGCAAAGTTGTGGTTCCTAAAGGTACATACAAGCTGAGACAAATAGAATTTAATGGACCATGCAAGGCTCCTATTGAGGTTCGGGTTCATGGGATAATTCAATCACCTAAAAATCCATACCACCTCAACGGAGAAGATCAGTGGATTAGATTTGGGTATATTAATTTCTTAACCTTATCTGGTAAGGGAATTTTTGATGGTCAAGGTGAAATGGCTTGGAAACAAAATGATTGTAGAAAAAACATGAATTGCAAGCAGCAGAAGCTTGTCATGGTAAATAAAGTACTTATCTATCAATACATATTGGAACTATATAATAATGCATTTTCATCAAATATTTAACAAGTTGGGTATTTTGGTTTAATTTTTCACAGAATTTTGGTTTTGGTTTCGTCAATAATTCAGTTATCCGAGACATAACTTCCAAAGACAGCAAATACTTTCATGTGAATGTTTTTGGATGCAAGAATCTTACATTTACAAACTTCAACATCAATGCACCTGCAGATAGTCCTAATACTGATGGAATTCACATTGGAAAATCAACTCAAGTGAAGATTATTAACTCTAAAATTGGCACCGGAGATGATTGTGTATCTTTGGGTGATGGTAGCAGAGAAGTTACTATCCTAAATGTAACATGTGGACCTGGACATGGAATTAGTGTTGGAAGCTTAGGAAAATATTCAAATGAAGAGCCTGTTGAGGATTTCATTGTCAAGAATTGCACATTAAAAAACACAGACAATGGTATAAGGATCAAGACTTGGCCTGGTACCCCAATAACTTCTCTTGCATCTGATTTGCATTTTGAAGATATTATAATGGTTAATGTTAGCAACCCTGTAATTATAGACCAAGAATATTGTCCATGGAATCAATGCTCAAAGCAGGTATCTAACTAAAACTCACTTATATATATAATATGAACTAAATTGAGGAAAAAAATTAATTTGACTCTAACCTTTTTAGTTTGTTGATTTTAATGGTTACAGAGTCCTTCACAAATAAAGATAAGCAAAGTCACTTTCAAAAATATTAGAGGGACTTCTGCAACTCAGGAAGGAGTTATTCTTGTTTGTAGCAGTAGTGTGCCATGTGAATCTGTGGAACTTAGTGACATAGATTTAAAATTCAATGGAACTGTTGCAACTACAAAATGTGAGAATGTCAAGCCCAATATTGGAAGAAATGCAGCTTCTTGTGTTGCGTAGATAGATTAGACTAAGCTCTCCTTTATTTAGACTCACCTTAATATTTAGAAATTACAAATATCAATTATATTGGTTCTTTTTAGGGATTAAATTGTCTTTTTCTTGAGGACTAAATAACCAATGTTTATAATTTTTAGGAACTTTTAATATAAGATATTTGTATTGTTAAAGACATTGAAGTTTTAATGGACGAATTTAGAATTTTACTCTATTTTTTTTTTCTAATTGTCCAAGATGGACTATTATGCATTTGTAGTTAATTTTTTTAGATTTTGTTCTTCTTTTTTTTTTTAAAATCTTTTACATCAATGATAATGAAATTCCACTTGTTCATTTGGGATCCCAATATTATAGCTTTCGGATTATTTGTATCATTTTTATTACTAATAATATATTGTTGAAGTTTTCAAAGTAGTAATCATACCATCTACAATGAAAATAGATGTGATAGTCCTTCATTCTCACGTTTAAAATCCTTGCCTAGAGCCTTCATGTATGGAACCAATCTCCTCCTTATACCTAACTTAATTAATGCATATGTATGCAAAATAAAAAGTGTTGCCTGAAGCATGAAATGAAAACTTAATTAATGTTATGTTTCCAAGTTTTATATCATTCTTCCTATTCTTCATCGATACGTGAGTATTTATCATGGTTCAGTAAACCGATCCAGTATCTGGTTCAAGGGAATCAGTAAACTGGATGTTCTAAAAACTGGCAGTTGGCCCAGTTCTCTCTTATGTGATCAAACGACGTCGTTTTTTCCGGTTGATCGAGGAAAAATTTGGATCTGCGTTGGTTCTCTCAGCCAAGTTTTCTGCCATTTGTGAATGGTGAACCAGTCACTGTTTTTACTATTCGTCAGAATTATGCCGTTTGCCGGAACTACCTCGTTCACAGAGGTGATCATTGCACGCTTGCACCTCTTTGGTGGGCACACCAGTTACCTCAACGTTACTTCGCTGTTGCCATGAAGTCTCTAGCCAGTTCTGCACCTTTTGTGTTGGTGAACTTTGTTCTATCATATTCAGACTTTTATATGTAATTTTGATTATTAAAACTTAGAAATAGTGTGTGATTTTTATCTTTTAGTGTTATGAAATTATGCTATTATATTTTTTAAAATCTGTTTAATATATTACTTATAATTTATTTAAAAAATTATTTAATTCAAACAGTTTAACTACAAATTGACCATAATGCTTTGACCGAATAGATATAAGATATATTGTAATCCATACTTGGTGCTGACAAATATATGTCATAATTGAATTTTGGTATCTTTAGTCATATCTTTCAGTGAGAATCAAGAAAGACTCTTATTTTTATTTGATCTCAGGTTTGAGAATTTTTGAAAAATAAAATAAAATTTGATCTTCAAATTCATGGCTTTGATACTTAACTTCTTTTCTCTTAATTTTATTTATTGCTATGCTTACTAAATTTTTTGGTTAAGGGATGGGATTCCTAATTTAATCTCATAAGTTGATTCTTGTTATCTTAATCTATCGCCTTTAATATCTATATTAATTGCTTACTATACTTTTCATTGCCGATTATTTGACCATTCACGACGCAATTTTAGGATTGATCTCACACTTAGAAATTTGTGGAATTATTTTGATTTGAAATAAGCAATACAATTTTGATTGATTGTTTAAGAATAGGAGATAATTTTTATTTCTACTTAAAAATAAAAGTTAAAAAAATAAAAGAAGTTAAAGAATCAAAGTAAACTAAAAATAAAATTAGAGAATTAAAATATTCATTTTGTCTGATAATAATAATAATAATTGTTATTATACAACAAATAACTTTAAAAAAATTATAAAGTGTTTACTACGACGCTCTTAATAATTGAGAAATTTAAATATATTTATGCTTATTAAAAATTTAATATGTATATTTATTTTGTAATTATTTTAATTAAAAAAATAATATTATGAGAATTAACTTTATTTTTTAAAAAATTTAAAGTTAAGTTTGAAAATTATATTTTTAATCTTTTCTATTATGTATTCTTTTTATCTTTTCACTTTCTTTGTTAGAAAAGATGAAAGGTGACATAAATGTTGAACTCCACGTAAATCTTTGTTGTGCTGCTAAGATGAAAAGTTTAAATATGTCACCATAACCAAGGATGTGAGAAAAGCCCACAAAAAAGTTATATTTGGTGTCATCAATTTCTAAACATGTGTTGGTTTTTCTCTCAATATCGAAACTTCACTGATAATATATATATATATATAGTATATGTGTTTTTATATTAAATGATATTAAGTTATTTTACTTCGTATAAGATAGTAAAATAATAGAGTTCTTTTATGCAACTCAACTTGTACACTAATGAAAATTATTCTATGAATGGCAGAGTTTTCAAAACTTATTACTTTAATTTATTCCATAACAAGGTATTGTCGACCATTGTTATTTCATCTTTCGGCAAGATTAAGCTTTCAAAAAATGGTTATATAATATTTGGGTTGTATAATATTTTATAAAAAGGGACTTAGCTTTCAATTAATTAATTTTATACAATTATTATTTGCAGTTATTATATAGTTTAAAATTTTTAAAAATAATATTTTAGAAAAAAAAAGAAAAGTGTATGTTAGATAATAATGTGAAATACTTTGCCGTTGATAGTAATTTTATTATGTTCGATAAGAAAAATATCTGTGATTTAGATCAAATGAATATAATAACGTAGAATATAAATTTATGCATATTGATTTTTATTAATTAATTTATTAAATAATTTTGAATCCATCAAATTTTAAAGGCACAGCAAATTTTTCCAAATTATAAAGAGCTAAATTTTAAAGAAGGAAGTTCTACAAATTAAACAATAATAATATATCTTTCTTTTTAAAATTTAACTCCTTATAATTTTTAAGTTATTTATTATTTGATTCTTTTAATAATAATAATAATAAATTTTTTAATTAGATTGAGTTAACAAAAATTAAATTTATTCAACTAAGTCTTAAATTTAATATTTTACTTTTTAATAAATATATTTAGACACTCAATTGATCCATTTTACTAACTCTGTTAACAAGGCAAGATATCATAAAATATTTCATAGAAAAAGTACATCTAGTCGTACACAAATCCAACATGTATTACTACGTAAACATGCACTATAAACAAGAATAATAAGAAAAATATTGAAGCTTACCTACACATACATGACCCATTATGTCATACATGACATTATAAACTTTCAAAAGAAAAGAGGCCTTACGTTTGTAAACCTACCCAACTATAAATATGTGCTTATAAAACACATCAACGATTACATTTGGTGTCTTAAAAAATATTATATAATCCTATATATTATTTTTGAACAATAATCATTTATTTTTAAATGTTTTTACTATAATTGAAAAATATACTTTTTAAAAATAAGCTGAAGCGAATATATTAATTTGTATTTATAGTTAATTACATATGCGATAATCAATATACATATTTACTCGTAAAATTTATCCCATATTATTAGATAAATATTTTTTAACTAATAATAATTTTAAGGAATATTCTTATTCTTGTTAAGTCAAGTGATTTTGTTTTCATTAAATATTCAATTTTATTTTTATTTATTTTAAATAATATTAAATTTAAATCTTAAATATTGATGGACTGTATCATATTAAAAAAAATCTTTAATTCTTTTACACCGAAAGAAATTAAAGATATTGTTTAGATAAAATAAATTTTAAGAGCATTGTAAACTTATATAATGTTAATTTTGAATTAAAATTTTAAAAAATTTAATATACCAAATCGATAAAGATGATATATCGAAAACTTAATAATTTATTTTCATAATTTCCACCTTAGATATTATAATTTAATTTAAATTTTTTTCTATTTAACATATTAAAATATTTATTATTAATAATAAAAGTCTTTATTATACTTTTAATTAATTTTTATTTACAAAATTATTGTATACCTTCCACGAGTAATATATATGTTAGTTTCAATGAATACATAGGTTACTATAATACTTTCAATATTGATATATTTATATTTAGTTATTAATTTTCATTTTAAGATAGATATTTTTAGTAAAATATCAATAACAGACATGAACATTAAGGAACAAATCAATGACATAACAATTTCAATAGTCTATCTATTCGATCAGAATCGATATTTTTAGTAAAGTGCATAATGGAAACTAATTAAAAATAGTATAGAAGTTCAGCCAAATTGTGTATTTCAGTTTTCCTACTTGCAATACGTTTTTAATTGTGATAACGACAAGTATTGCAAATTACATTTGTCATAACACTATTTATAAGTACATTTGTCATAATACTTATAAATAGTTTTCTATCGAATAAAATTCCATAACATTCAGCCAATCACTTTCGCTTTGAGGAAGTGGAAGAAGGCATACAGAACAAAGGAATATAAAAATGGGTACTCAACAAAGTATTAGCACATTAGCTTTGTTGCTATTGCTAGCTTCCTGTGTTAGAGCTCAATCTGGCCTATTCGATATAAGAAAATATGGTGCAACACATAATGGGGACATAACCAACGTAAGATCATATCAAGTTTTAATTAACAATTGAACATTTGATTTTTGTTTAATGTATTATTAAAAGAGTTATAAAATGTGAACATCTTATCCATTCATTTTCATAATTTTGTGTTTGACTTGTTCTTTAAGGCTTTGAAAAAGGCTTGGGAAGGTGCATGTGCATCAACAACTCTCAGCAAAGTTGTGGTTCCTAAAGGTACATACAAGCTGAGAGAAATGGAATTTAATGGACCATGCAAGGCTCCTATTGAGGTTCAGGTTCATGGGATAATTCAAGCACCAAAAAATCCATACCACCTCAATGGAGAAGATCATTGGGTTAGTTTTGGATATATTAATTTCTTAACCTTATCTGGTATGGGAACTTTTGATGGTCAAGGTGAAATGGCTTGGAAACAAAATGATTGTGGAAGAAACACGATTTGCAAGAAGCAGAAGCTTGCCATGGTAAATAAAGTACTTATTTATCAATTCATATTAGAACTATACAATAATGTATTTTCACCCAATATTCTAACAAGTTGTATTTTGATTTAATTTTTGACAGAATTTTGGTTTTAGTTTCATCAATAATTCAGTTATCCAGGACATAACTTCAAAAGACAGCAAATATTTTCATGTGAATGTTTTTGGATGCAAGAATCTTACATTTACAAATTTCAACATCAACGCACCTGCAGATAGTCCTAATACTGATGGAATTCACATTGGAAAATCAATTCAAGTGAATATTACTAACTCTAAAATTGGCACCGGAGATGATTGTGTATCTTTGGGTGATGGTAGTAGAGAAGTTACTATCCTGAATGTAACATGTGGACCTGGACATGGAATTAGTGTTGGAAGCTTAGGAAAATATCCAAATGAAGAGCCTGTTGAGAATTTCACTGTCAAGAATTGCACATTAGAGAATACAGACAATGGTCTAAGGATTAAGACTTGGCCCGGTACCCCAATAACTTCTCTTGCATCTAATTTGCATTTTGAAGATATTATAATGGTTAACGTTGGCAACCCTGTAATTATTGACCAAGAATATTGTCCATGGAATCAATGCTCAAAGCAGGTATCTAACTAAAAGTCACTTTTTGATATATATATATATATATATATATATATATATGTGAACTAAATTGAGAAAAAATTAATTTGATTCTAACCTTTTAGTTTGTTGGTTTTAATGGTTACAGAGTCCTTCAAAAATCAAGATAAACAAAGTTACTTTCAAAAATATTAGAGGAACTTCTGCAACTGAAAATGGAGTTATTCTTGTTTGTAGTAGTGGTGTGCCATGTGAAACTGTGGAGCTTAGTGACATAGATTTAAGATTCAATGGAACTATTGTAACTGCAAAATGTGTGAATGTCAAGCCCAATATTGGAAGAAATGCACCGACTTGTGTGGCATAGATGGATATAGGATAAACTCTCCTTTATTTAGACTCACACTCATCCTTAGAAATTACAAATATTAGTTATATTGATCTCTTTAGGGATTGAATTATCCTGTTCTTGAGATTCTTGAGGATTAGTATAACCAATATTTGTAAATTTTAAGGACTATTAATATAAAATTTGTGTATTGTTCAAAATAAAATAGTTTTTAAGAACAAATTTAGAGTTTTACTCTAATTTTTTCTAAAATAAGCTATTGTGCCTTTGTAATTACTCTTTTTTTTAATTTTTTTTTTGTCTTTTTCATCAATGATAAAGAGATTGCACTTGTTCATTTGAGATCCAATATTATAGCTCTTCGATCGTTTATATACATTTATCCACAAGATTACATGCATGAATTTTAGGACCCACTGATATTCTCATCGGTGCCTTCATATTGATCATCCATAGACATGAATTTCACACATATGGGTTGAATTCTCTACTCAATTCCTTGTTATGTGATTATAGAAAATTTGATACATCTCCTTCACTCCACCTTGAGTTGACTCTAGTGTACCTTTACCATCTCTAGCTATATGAATGAATCCTTGAGCTGAATTTTTCTACTAATAATATATTGCTACAGTTGTTCCAGTACTAACCATGTCATCTACAATGAGAATAGATGTTGTATAGTCCTTCATTCTCACGTTTTAAATCTTAGCTTAAAACCTTGAATTATGAAACTAAGTTCCTCCAAATATCTAACTTAATGCAAATGCATGCAAAAATGTTCCCTGAGTTAAAAATGACCCAAGTTCTCCAACACTAGATGACTTCTATTCTTCACAGGGTTCTTAATCTCTTTCTAACTTTGAGTGCATCTTCTTCGTTACCATTATAGCACTTGTTGATAAATTCTCTTCATAAGAAGATTAGAGGACAGTTTGAGTAAAATTTCATATTGGTACGTGCGATATGCATATGTATTCTCAAATAAAATTAGATGGATTATTAATTTTATTAATAAATCTTTAATTACTTTAGTTCTTAAAAGTGAAAGTATTGTTTAAATTAATTTTTTAAAATTAAAATTTTAAACATTAGTATATGATATAAATAATATTTATTTAATTAATTTTTTATTATTTAAAAATATTAAAATTAAATAATAAAATAATAATTTGTCACGTGATATATAAAAGGGATATTATACCTTAAAAAATTTAAAAACACCATCATTTTGTATCCTTCTATATGTTATTTGGTATCCTTTAACAATAAGAATTAAAGTGATTAATTGTTATTAATTTTAAAGACTAAAATTTTGATTATTAATTTTAGTTATATTATATATTTTAAAGATTAAAGTGGTAATTTAGTTTTAATTTTATTAAATAATATGTTAATATTCATCATTATGCGATTAATTAATTAAATTTTCCCAATGTTATTTCTAAATAAATATTCCACTTTATGAAGGGAAAATTAGCTATATATTGGACTTGTATCATGTAACCACCTTTTCTCTATTAATTATAATTAGACATCAATCTTGAAGTAGAAGGTTTAATTACAATTGCATCACTATTACGTTATTATTAGTAATTTTTTTACTTTACTTTAATTTAAATTAATTTAAACCTTAAATATTGACATACTGTATCATATTAAAATAATATTTAATTTCTTTACCGCAAAAAAAGTTTAAGATATTCTTTATATAAAATAAATATTAAGAACAATGTAAACTTAAATAATTTAAATTTAAATTTAAAATTTTAAAAACTTAATATACCATTTAATCTTAATAATTTATTTTCATAATTTCCTTCTTAAGTTTTATAATTTAATATTTTGAAATTTTGCTATTTAACATATTAAAATATTTATTATTAATAATAAAAATATTTATTCTATTTTTCATTTTATTTTTGTTTATTAAATTATTATATATCTAATATTGCACGGGTAATATGCTAGTTTTAATAAATATATAGGTTACTATAGTACTTTCAATATTGATATATTTATATTTATTATTAGATTCCATTTTAAGATTCGTATAAACTGAGACAAAATACAGTAGCATATTGAGATATTGCCGAATTTTGCTGAAATTTATCATGTATAGAATATTTATGTATTATAATTATCATACTTACAATGTCTTGGGGGTTAGAAAAATGTGTTGACATTTAATTAATAAATGAAAAGGACAGTGGTGAGCATGAACATTGAATACATTAGTTGTTTAATGAGATGAACTGCTACCAACTCCTCCAATCTTCGGCTTTCAGGAAAGAAACTTCGTTTGATCTGATAATCGCCACTGCCAGCAATTCCTGAAAACCATTTTTCACCAATAAAATTTTGTTGGGCTAACATTAACATCCCAAACACTTATGTCACAAGTCACCCACCATCTCCACTATTTTCCTCGTGTGAGCCCCCCATAAATGTTAAATCCAATTGGGGCTAAATAAATGTAAACCCATTAAAAAATTACTGTTGATCCATATAATATTTTATATGATTAGTATCCTTTTTAACACATGATTTTAACTCTGGTTTCAATTTAAGGTCATTTTTTCAATTTAGTCTTTTTTTTTTTTTTTAAACAAAGCCATGTTAATATCAAATTGATTGTAACAAAAACAATAAAATAAAAGTTGATTAGGGTAAGGTATGTCTGTTTAAAATTTGTTTCAACGCAAACAAGCATTAAGAGAAAGGAATTAGAGCTTGTTTCAAATTAAAGTAGTTTGGAAAGTGTGCCTAATATTGATTGATTTATTTGCATTGGCCAAAGAATTTCAAACAAATAGACATTAAGTTATTAAAAACAAAACTATTTATGCACCTTTCTATGATAGTTTCAATTTTTAGAATAATTCATTTCTTAGAATGATGTCAACGTCTGCCTGAACAAACCATCTGGACTCTTGGAGAAAGTGTTAGAAGCCTCATGTTTTAAATTGCTTATTTTGTTTTATCTTCTTAATTAATTCTCGTTAATCTTTTTATTGCAAATTTACAGTGATTAAGTCTTACAAGGAAAAAAAAGAGAGAGAGATATAAGGAAATGAACCAAGAAAAGAGGGAGAGAAGCATTGCAAGTGATCAAATTAACTGCGCACTTATAGTTCATGTTTTACAGCTTAAATCATCTGAGCTAATTTGAGGGAACTAAAAACAATAATAATTTTTACCCATTTAGAAGAGAATTATAATGATCAAATCACAACTGAATTTCCAAGCAGTACATCAATGATTCATTTTCAAAAGGTGGAACCACTTTTGTGACGAATGAAGTTTCTAACAACCAAACCAAAATCTCCTGTGACAAATAGAAAAGGTACAGTTGTTCTATACTCGCAAGTTTAATTTGTTGTGGCGTATATGTCATCTCTTTGACTTAAATCAGGTAGAAAAAATGTATATTCATTCCACCAATTGGCATGTTAGCTGGGAATCGTTGTACTTCACCCAATATAGTTAGACCAAACCCAGTATTTGATGTGACCACCTAGTCCATACAAATAAAAAGAAAAGGAAAAAAAAAGTGGCATCACCCAGAAACTCAATTATCTTAGCTTCAAAAGTATCTTAGTTCATGGATAACTACTTTATGTGATACACAAGAAAAATAATAGAACTTTCTGGCCAGCTTCTTTTTGTTTTTTGGTGTACACATTTTTTTATTTTTTATTTGTACTTATAATGTCAAGTATTTCTTCAACCAACTGATTAAAAGGACATGACAACATAGATTACCTCTTTATAAGGTTGTTCCCTCCTACTCACTTTGCATTGTGCATTCTCCAAAGTAGCTAGCAAGCCTGCAAAGGAAAAGCTAGCATCTGTGTCTTGGGTGGAGGCAGAGACAATTCAAGGAGGTGTTCATGGCCATGATGTGCTTTAGAATCATACTTCTACTAGCGGCTTGCATGCTTCCTCTGTCAGTGGAAGCCATGGTTCGCCACTACAAGTTCAATGTAGGTGCATGCATTATACATTTATTAATTGTCACTTTAATTAAATATCATGTCTTCTAGCATTATTGTGTTATAAATGACATGAAACAGCATATGAATAAATAATGTGACTTTTTGCTTAGAAAAGCATGCATAATTGTGTTCTCTCATTTCATTATAGTACTTGTTTTCTTGAAAATATGCATGCATGTGAGTACTTAATATTTTTTATGCATGCATGAATGATGATACATATGTTGCAATAGGCAATGGCTTATGTTCATCATTTTTGGCACTCTTGCCCAGACCTCAGAGTGCATCAAACTACACATTGAGGATGTGAAAATCTACATTATTTGAACTATGCTGTGTGAAATAAAAACTAAGAGTGCTTTTGTGTGCAATTACTGTCTCATCTAAAACTATTCATTATAGCACAAAAGAGCATAAGTGTAAGAAAGCTTAAGCCTCCATAAATACTTGCTTTTTTTCTATTATTGCTGTGATTTATAATCTACTTCTATCGTAATCTTAATTTTTTTAAAGTAAAGTGATTTATTAATTATTCTTTTTTTACATAATATCATATCACTATTTTTTAGTAAAATGTGTTTTCACTCTTTACTTACATTAATATAATTCATTCTCCTAGTAAGAGGATACAAATTTATTAATTTTTCATATTTTGTTACATACAATAGTTTATTTTTAACATGGAATAAAACTTTTAACGATAAAATATTTAAAATTTTGGTAGTTACATATAATAGTCTGTTTCTAATATAAAAATAACATATTTAAAAAATTACACGATCTCTTAATCCAAAAATTAAAAATTTTAAAGAACTGTTAGAATTCCACCTTAGATATATATAACATGCATACAGCCTTAGCCATATTACTATATTTAAGAGTATAAATAAAAATTGCTTCGTCTCCAATTAAAATAATGAAATATTAAATAACATATGTAAAATTAACTTAAGTGATTTTTTTTAAGAAATATTATTATTTAATTATGCAACATGATTTTTCCTGTATTCAATACTTAAATTTTTTTAATTCAATCTTTATTTAATATAATTAAATATTTATAATAATAATTATAATAATATTTAAATTTTTAATAATCTTCTACAGGACCCTGCAAGTGAAACATAGTATTAGTCAGGCACATGACCTTTAGCAAATATCCACGTACTGAACTTATAATATTAAAATTAAACTTCTTTTTTCTAATTAGGTAGGATTCAATCAATTAAATTGACTGACCCGCTGGGGGAAGAATTGTAATGTTAGTCAATGATTCATATTAAAACCAAAAAAAGAATTGCATATATCATGTGAAAGCCATAATTTGAAATCAGAGACTTATTATATTATGTATGTACCCTTTATAGTGTAAAACAATATTCCAATTTGTTCAATTGGGCAGGGTCAGTGCCTACTAAAAATATATGACCCTTCATTGTATCTTTACCAAACAGCAAAGTGCTACAAGTATTGTTGAGCAATGCAAGGCACTCAAGTTTGGTAGATGCTTGAGACATGTAGTTACACTGACTCTTATTCGTGCAATGTGGCTATAGGTGGTGATGAAGAATGCCACAAGATTGTGTTCAACCAAACCCATTGTAACCGTTAATGGGAAGTTCCCAGGCCCCACCATATATGCTAGGGAAGATGACACTGTTCTAGTAAAGGTGGTTAACCATGTCAAATACAATGTTAGCATCCACTGGTGGGTGTGCTACAATTACTATATACTCTGCTCTAACCTTAATTAATTAAATTTTGTCCTTCTTTCTTGTTAATTCATGTATTTTATTTGATGATGGATTAAATTGAACAGGCATGGGGTTAGACAATTGAGGACTGGTTGGGCTGATGGGCCAGCATACATAACCCAATGCCCAATTCAACCAGGCCATGTCTTTGTGTACAACTTCACCCTCACAGGGCAAAGAGGGACACTTTGGTGGCATGCACATATTCTTTGGCTTAGGGCAACTTTACATGGTGCCTTGGTCATTTTGCCCAAGCTTGGAGTTCCTTATCCTTTTCCCAAACCTCACATGGAACAAGTTATTTTATTGAGTCGGTTTCTCTACTTTTTTCCTCTCTATATATTTTTTTATATTACTAAATATTTCACTTTATGGATGTCTGGTCATGAATTAGAGAAAAATAAACCTCTTTTAAAATTAGAGTATAAAGTGAAATAAGATAAGAACACATACTTTATAAACCTCATTTTTTCATAATTTCAATTTGGTTCAGGTGAATGGTGGAAATCAGATACCGAAGCTGTAATAAATGAAGCTTTGAAATCTGGATTGGCCCCTAATGTCTCTGACGCCCACACAATCAATGGTTATCCAGGACCTGTTCTACATTGTGCATCACAAGGTCACACCCATGAACCTAACCCTTTTAACATTTAATATAATTAGACCGAGCTCATGATGGGAAAGCAATAAAAAATTGAACCAGAGTTTAAATTATGTTTTTTTACTAATAATTACAAAATATCAATTTATTGATTTTTCTGAAGAAATATCTAAAGATCAAACACACAGTAAAATCAAGATAAGAATAGTTTACTGTAGAGTTTGAATAATATTTTCAACTATGCAGAAGGATACAAACTCCAAGTCCAACCTGGAAACACCTACTTGCTAAGAATAATCAATGCTGCACTGAATGAAGAGTTGTTCTTTAAGATTGCTGGTCACTTACTCACTGTTGTTGAAGTTGATGCTGTCTATACAAAACCTTTCAAAACTGACACCATTGTTATAGCACCTGGCCAAACCACAAATGTGCTTCTAAAAGCCAATCATGCCGTTGGAAAATTCTTAGTAGCAGCCTCACCTTTCATGGACTCTCCTATTGCAGTGGACAACTTAACTGCCATTGCTACCTTACACTATTCAGGCTCACTTGGTTCCACCATCACCACACTCACTTCTTTGCCTCCTAAAAATGCCACCAAAGTTGCTACCAATTTCACTGACTCACTTAGAAGCCTAAACTCCATAAAGTACCCTGCTAAAGTCCCAATTAAGATTGACCATTCCTTGTTCTTCACTATTAGTCTTGGTGTTAACCCTTGTCCTACTTGTGTTAATGGTAGTAGGGTGGTTGCAGCTATCAACAATGTCACTTTTGTGATGCCTAAAGTTTCTCTCCTTCAAGCACATTTCTATAATATAAGTGGAGTTTTCACTGATGATTTTCCTGGAAAGCCTCCAATGGTTTATGATTTCACTGGAACACAACAACCAGTAAATTTGAGGACTAATAGAGGGACAAGGGTTTATAGACTTGCTTACAACTCTACGGTTCAATTAGTCTTGCAAGATACTGGAATGATAACACCTGAGAATCATCCTATTCATCTTCATGGGTTCAATTTCTTTGTAGTTGGTAGGGGGCAAGGGAATTTCAACCCCAAAAAAGACACAAAAAAGTTTAACCTTATAGATCCTGTGGAGAGAAACACAGTTGGTGTCCCATCTGGTGGATGGACTGCTATCAGATTCAGGGCTGATAATCCAGGTAAGGTTATTGATTCAATTTTTTGTGTGAAATTCTAAGGTAACAAAGTTTATAGAATGATAAAAATACTTACATGTCACAAATTTTTTCTATTATGATATATGTTTTTTTTTTTTTTTTTTTTTTTTGTTAGGTGTTTGGTTTATGCATTGTCATTTGGAAATTCATACAACATGGGGATTGAAGATGGCATTTGTAGTAGACAATGGTAAAGGGCCAAATGAATCATTATTACCACCTCCAAGTGACCTTCCTAAATGCTGAGAATAGCACTAATATGCAATCTTTCCCTAAAGAGGAAGAGGGGGAACATGTAAAGAAAATATACATGCCAAAAGGAATAACAAGATTTTTCTTAGAGAAAATAAAAAGGATAAGTTGCCAATGGCATAATAAGACCAATTGTTATGTCTTCAATTTTTTTTTATTTACTTTCATTTTTTTAATTTTTTGGATTGTTTGTACTTTTCATCTTTCTCCTTGAAGAATAATTTTGAATTCATGTAATTATGTATTCAGTACTAATCAAATTTGAAGGGTTTTCAAATTTTGTTGCTTACCTTGCATTAGTAATTCTGTTGTTTATCAGCAGTGACCAAGTTTTACCGATAATGCCAGAGAATTGAAATACATGAAAATTGATTTTCATTCTTAATAATTCCATGATAAATTTGTTTAATTGGAGTGTAGGGGCAGCTAAAAAATACTTAATGGTTCAAATGATCTAAATTATAGAAGATTCTTTAATTAATCAAACATGCTTAGTATAAGAGTGATTAACAATCAATAAGACTAGATAATTTTAAAGAAAGGAATACAAGACTTGGCAAAAAGAAAGAACCAAAAACATAGAAAAATATTTTTTTAACATGTACTTAATGGTACACACAAAATTAAATTAAGTATTATATTTTCTAATAAAAATTACTATTTATTGATTTTGTATCGTATATCCTCAGTTAAAAAAACCTGTGAAAATATTAAGATGGTATCACAAAAATGATACATGGCTACCATCTTTTACTGTTTATTGGTCATATAAAGTGACATATATTGGACATTGTTTAACTTGTGTTGCTTGAAGAGTGGACTGCCACTTGACTTAGACAAAACTATGTCGAAATTGATTTATCACTAATTTGGATCGAGTAAGTTGATCTATTTTTCTTCATAAAAGATCATTGTTCAAGAATTGGAAGACATTAAATAACTTTAGTTACGCTAAAATATTATTTTATTTGATTAAATTATATATATATTTCATTAAAATGTTTAAAATATTATTGCTGTAATAATACTTTTTCATTTTCTTTAGTGAAAGAAAATCAAGAAATAAGAACAATTTAATAACAAACTCCACTAATTTTCTTAAACAGATAAATTGAAACAAAGTAATTATCCTAAAGCAACAGTATCTTAAAAGAAAGAGCATGACATGATTGTTTATACACAAGATATTTCTATATATCTGAGACCTAGACAACTATAATTAGTTTTTTCCTGGTTTTAATTTTTTGATATATTTTCATTGATAATTATAAAAATTTGCCAATTTTTAATTCTTTTATAATAATTTACTAAGAAAATAAAAATAAAAAATGTATATCTTAACAAAAAATTAAGTTGTATTTTTATAAGTATAAATGAAAAATATAAACTACATTAAAAGAAAAATAAGCGAAATGCCACAGATTTAAACTCTCTGATCTCTCACTTTTTGGTCAAACAAATTTAGGGATAGAACTTCTCTAAAATGAATAAATAAAGTGACAAAGTAAGAATTTATCTACATTAAATTTTAATTTAAATCTTTTATGAATATAACAAAGTTAAAATCGACATAAATTTATCTTTCTTACCTTTTTTTTTATGTCTTTAATTTCTTACTTTTCACGTTATCTCCCTCAGATTTATGGGCGCAAATATTATGTTTTCTTTTGGGTCGTTGTAGATATTCTGCATTGGACCTGACACCATTGTTGGGCCATGGAGTGAAAACCATCCTTGTTGTATTGCAGTTTGGGCCTTATTTGTTGTCCTGGCCCTCAGGGGGACTTTTATTCTACATGACCAAAAACAAATGTAAGAAAAAAGAACATAAACTCCATTGTAGAGAAATAATATCATTAATTACAGTAAATCTTTGACAATAAGTCCAAAATTTTTTAAGATTAGATATGTGTCGTTGGATAAAATATTCATTTTTTGGAGGGTCTCATAAAATTATTTGTCAAAATAAAATAGTAACGGTGAAAAAGCCTAATGAACCTTGTTCCAATCTCATCAAGCTTTTTATCTTTGTTTATTGGCAAATCACCAACAATAACCTGAAAACTTGGGGTTTAATTTGGACCCTTTTTATAAAGACTTAAAAATATAACTGCACAAATTTTTTAATTACTAATTTTGCATACTCATAAGCTCGAAAAAGTTTCACACCCAAAAGAAAAACTATTAAGCTTGATATTTAAAGACAATGGAGGTGTGTAAGTAGAAGGAACACGAGTAGCTTTCAACCAAATGATTGCATCAAGAGCAATTTGGACCCCATCAATAAAGTGAACAAAGACGAAGACACTGCTTAAAATGTTGATAACTTGAGCAAAGGTCCACTAGGGATGGCATTTAGCGAAAAATAAAACTGAAAATTTGGTGCAAAGGATAGAAAGAGAAAGAAGCAACGGTAGCAGATTCTCATAATGTAATCATCCCCATCACTATCAACTAGCACATCCAAGTGAACGCCTGCTTTATTCCTGTCATCCCACTTAACATTTTTTATTTTATTTTGCTAACTTTAATTTTTATAATTCAATTTAATTATTTTGAAAAATATTTATTATATTAGAAATATAAAAGTGTAATAAACACTATTTTTTTAATAAAATTTTTATTACTTTTAGATATTCAAACTCAACACTAGACATTGAAATTAACAAATCTTTTGATTAAGCCAAAATTGTATGATTTGTCATTTGCTGAGTCTCCACAATTTGTAGCCTTTTTCTTGAACTTGATTGATGTGTTGATGAGAACCCTCAACATTTTGATCTTATTTTCTCAGTTTCAATTAATATGATTGAACTTGTCAGACATGACTGTGCTGCGTGGCCGTTGTAGGTTGTTTCTTAATAACTTTGTCGGAGTTTTGCTTCCCTTATGGGCTTAGGGGAATGAGAGTTCTTCTTTGTTTCAATCTTCCCAATTACTCTTACTTCCACTATAACTACTAATATTTTCTTTTAATTAACAAAAACCAATGATTTATTTTTAAAATTAATTATTATACATGTCAGACATTAAATTAAAAATAGGAATTTCTCTCAACAGTAATATTTTCATACACAAATTTTAGAATTAAATTAGAAGGTATATACTTGAGATATTTGAATCAATTTCACTCAAACCAACACATACTAATATTTTTCTAATAAATGCCAAATCACCATAAATGAGTTCCTTGCGCAAAGAGAAAACAAAACAAAAAATAAAATAAAATGTTATGCACCGACAAACTCCAATAACATCAAGGAACAAGCACAAAACAAAAACAAGAGCCTTTGATGCAATTTTTTTAATTTTTATGAAATTCAATGTTAATTTTAATAAGAAATTATTATTACTCTTTAACAAGCATTTTTAGAACACTAGTTAGCAAGATCCTTATACCCAAATGAACGTTTGCATACTTTTTGTGGACAAAGAAAATGCACTTGAATACTTCCATTGGTATAGCGGATCCACGTTGTCCACTGGGACACAAATGCCTCCACAAAATTATAATTTTTCTATTATTCACTTTTTTTATAAAATATATTTGGTCACGTTATTTCTTCCATCACTGCTTCAAATATAAAAGAAGAAAGCTTTCTTTTATTAAATAAATTTTTTCGTCATTGTTTTCAATTATTTGATAAAAAATTATTGAAGAAAAGATAAGCATTGAGTTGGTGATGTGTTGTTGTTCACAAGAGTTAGGTGTCGACACCTTGCGCCCAGTATATCTTTCTTGGCTGGATTTGCACTATTACACGTGACTATACTCTCAAAATTAAAATCACTCTATAGTTTGAAAAAGATAAAATTGCTTTCTTTTAGATTTAAAGTAATTTAAATTTATAAAATTGTTCAATTCAAATAAATAATTATATTAATGCGTTTAATTTATCATATTTTCCATAAATAACTATTTACTTTGTCTTGAAAGAATTAAAAATAATCTAAATTTAGCATACTTAATTATATTTTCTAATAAGTTGATTTTAAGAAATAATTATTTAAAATGTTAATGATAATTCTATAAAATAAAATAAACCTCGTGTATGGACATCCTTAATCCCTGGAGACTTATAAAAACGCTGAAACCAAACCCCAACCATATTTTGAGTTTTATTTTTTGACTTTTATGCAGGGAATCTTTCCATTAATGGAACGATTTCGTTGTGACTTGTGCCAAAACCCTTTAACTATTTATTTATAGATTTTGTTAACTTAAGATTTAAACATATAAAAATATTAAAAAGTTATTGTATTAGATATATAATAAACACTTTACATGAATAATTTTATTATTATTATTACTAACACTTTCCTTTATTTATTAATCTAAGTTTCTTTTCAAATTTCCCTTTTCTTTATTGAAAGCATAATAGTATTCTTCCATGCATATGATGTAATCATTTTCTTTCCTAACCCTACAGAACCTCTAAGAGACATGTATCGATGCAGATGCAATACACTACAATATTTATATTATGTAAAATTATATATAATATAATATAAGATTATTTAATATTTTATAAAAAATTATTGAGTATTAAATGTCAAAATTTGATATTTAGTACAAGTATGATATATTTAAATGTTTTGGCTAAAATGGAAAATTGGAATTCAACACAAGCATGGGCCCCAACAACATTAATGGTATTAAAATGTGAAAATACTAACATCTTCAAGCAACAATTTTGTTCCCATAGATTATGCACCTTATTAAACAATACAATATCAATATATTATAAAGACGTGACAAAATCCACACTAGCTTCCAAAAATTAATAATATCATCACATTACCCTTTTTAAATATACAAAGTGAAATCTAAATTTTCCTAACAATGATTGAATACAATTCACAAACATTACTTATACTTTCCACTACCAATCATAAATTCACTTTATTTGTTTTAAAGGCAGGTAAGAAATCAAAATGTGTGTCTAAATTAATTCTATAGTTTTGTATATTTTATTTTTTAGGATTCAATTTAA